TAAAATAATTCTCACGACGTTTCGGCCACAACGCAAGCAGCCGTCCTCAGGTGAAGAACAGGTCTGTCGAGAAGACAGCGTCTGAATGACACACTCCAGGCTTGGAGCGACTATCTAAGCTGGGATGGAAGGGGGAAGAGCGCCTTGACAAAATCATTTGCATATGGGAAATGCAGATATGCGATTAGTACTACTTGTGAAAGTAGTACTAATCGCATATCTGCATTTCCCATAAATATGCTAAATTCCTCTTGATATGCAAATTATTTTGTCCAACCCAGCTTAGATAGACGCTCCAAGCCTGGTGGTGTATCCTTCAGACGCTGTCTTCTCGACAGACCTGTTCTCCACCTGAGGACGGCTGCTTGCGTTGTGGCCGAAACGTCGTGAGAATTATATTTTATTATTTTTTTGATTTAAAGCTTTCGTGACTGCAAGGATTCATCTTCTTGGTTCTTTCGGTAAAGTCACGTAGAAGGGAAATAATAAAATAATAAAAATAAAACACAATAAAATTTTATTATGTTTTATTTTTATTATTTTATACCAATAAAAATAAAACATAATAAAATGTTATTGTTTTATAATAAAAATAAAACATAATAAAATTTTATTATGTTTTATTTTTATTATTTTATATTTTATTGTTTTATTTTTGTTATTTTATACCAATAAAAATAAAACATAATAAAATTTTATTATGTTTTATTTTTATTATTTTATATTTTATTATGTTTTATTTTTATTATTTTATACCAATAAAAATAAAACATAATAAAATTTTATTATGTTCTATAATAAAAATAAAACATAATAAAATTGTATTATGTTTTATTTTTATCATTTTATTATTTCGCTTCTACGTGACTTTACCGAAAGAACCAAGAAGATGAAGCCGATGGGATGTTTGGACAATTGTTGCGGTTGCACCCGAGTCAAGAGCCGCACTGCTCACACGGCTTGTGTCTCGTCAACGCAACTTGACACCAATCCAAGACGGCTGCCGGTGACAGCGTCTCTCTTGCCACCGTGGGGTCTTTGAATCCGAGCGGGGAACGTTCTCTCGTGACAGGACGGACTCGTGTGGAGCGCCGTTCACTCCGTGGGACGTCGACTTGACGATTCTCGTGGTGAGTTCTGACGATTGAGGTTAACATAGTTGAACGCGAGCACATCACGTGGAATTGTAGTTTCGGTAAAGTCGTCACGTAGAAGGGAAGTAATAAAATAATAAAAATAAAACATAATAAAATTATTCTCAAGACGTTTCGGCTACAACGCAAGCAGCCGTCTTCAGGTGAAGAATGAGACGGCTGCTTGCGTTGTAGCCGAAACGTCGTGAGAATTATTTCATTATGTTTTATTTTTATAATTTTATTACTTCCCTTCTACGTGACTTTACCGAAAGAACCAAGAAGAAAAAGGTAAGGCATTTGAATAGTAAGGAGCTGCAGATGAATCTGAAGATGAATGCCTGCAGTCACGAAAGCTTTAAATCGAAATGTGTCAACAGTGCAAGAGGCGTACAGCTCAAAGACGATGCTGCGCTATCAAAGTAACGAGAGCTCGGGGTGAGCATCTACATCATTAGACCTCCTCTGGTCTGGCACCAATTGAGACGAGGCTCAAAAGAAAGCCGTCTCTGGGGTGGACCAATCAGTTCCAAGGGCAATGCATCATATTATCAGAGTGTTTAATTCTAGATTTGAAGCTTTCGTGACTGCAAGGATTCATATTCTTAGGTTTTTTCGGTAAAGTCACTGTGTAGGTAAAAAAATCAAAATTAATAAAAATAAAATAAAATAAAAATCACGACGTTTCGGAGGCAACACAAGTCTCTGTCATCAGGTGGGACCGTCACACCCAGATTAGCTGCATCAAGTGAGGCAATGATTCAATCCCTTAAAAGGGATTACATCTTGAATAATTGCCTCACTTGATGCAGCTGATCTGGCTGTGACGGTCCCACCTGATGACGGAGACTTGTGTTGCCTCCGAAACGTCGTGATCTTTATTTTATTTTAATTAATTTTGATGTTTTACCTACGTGACTTTACCGAAAAAACCTAAGAATATTATCAGAGTGTGTGTTTTTGTTTGCATGTTGAGCACAAGTATTGTGGTGAATGCACCACGTGATTGCTCGTAAAAAGATTTCAGTTTTGTTGCCAGAAAAAAGGGGGAGACGCTTTTATTATAATTATAATACATTATAATCGTCAGCCTTCCTTAATAATAGTAACACCAGCCAATGACGAGTGCATTTCTCGTTTGTAAACAACATCATTGGAACCTCATTTGCCAGTAAAAATATGATAATTGGTTTTTCACCCTTCTATCTGGCAACAAAACTGACACCTTTTTTTTACTCCTTGTTAAAAAAAAGGTGTCCGTTTTCTTGCCAGATAGAAGGGTGAAAAACCAATTATGTAAACAACATTTCAACAAAACTCAAATGATGTTTTTGCTGGTGGTGTATTCCTGCATTGTGCAGATAGTGAACAGACACCCTCCATTTGGGAACCAGATGAAAGACGCCGTTCAGCATCTTCCCAAGTACCAAGTCAGCATGGTGCAGGTAGATGAGTCCGAGCCCTCATCATACGTAAGCACGTTTCAGTCAACAATATTATTTGTCGCCACCTAGTGGAATCTTTAATAAAAGAAACTGAGTGGATTGTAATAATAGTGAGTATAGAAACAAGATGTATTGTAAGAGTCACTTTATTTTTCATTAATATTAAAGAAGTGAAGTTGCGATAATTGGTTCTTTACCCTTCTATCTGGCAACAAAACTGACACCTTTTTGCAAGGAGTCATGTTTGCATAGACCGCAATACCTGCAGTCCCCCTACTGTACCAACTTGCTGTGCTTTAGCCACCCGGCGCTCCGCTCGTTGTTGTGAGCGTCGCTCCTCCGCCCTCCGTTGTTGTTGGAGGGCGACTGCCTCCAACTGCCCAGTAGCGTCCTTCACGAGCCTCCTCCACTGAGGCCGGTCTTGACACCGCTGGTACCAGTCATCGGCAAGTCCACTCAGCTCCACGTCCTCCTGTACCACATCACTCCATCTCTTCTCTAGCCCGTGCCGCGCCCGTTTAGCCCCCTCGATCCGGCCGAACAAAAGCTGTTTAGGCATGCGGTGGCTGGGCATGCGGGCTACATGACCCAGCCAACGCAGCCTTGCCTGCCGGAGGAGCTCACTGATGGGACTTTGCCCAGATCTTTCAAGGATTTGTGAGCTCCTCACACAATCCAGCCTGGTTAAACCCAAGATGGATCGTAGGCAGGCCAGCCTCAATGTTTCCAACCGGCGATGATGCTCCATTAGGGGGGTCCACGTTTCGCAAGCGTAGAGAAGGGAGGGAATGACCGTGGCCGAGAAGACCTGAAGCTTCGTGCGGAGCGACAGACCAGGTAGCTTCCACACAGCGTTACGCAACCGATGAAAAGATATTGCCGCTCGACTGATTCGGAGTGAGACCTCTGCTGATAGACTGGAGCCGGTCATAAGCACACTGCCCAGGTATGGGAAACTCTCCACTCTCTCCACAACTGCCACCCACCACCCACCCACTCACCCACCACCCACCCACCACCCACCCACCACCCACCCACCCACCACCCACCCGGACCCACCACCCACCCACTCACCCACCACCCACCCACCACCCACCCACCACCTACCCACCCACCACCCACCCAACCACCCACCACCCACCCACCACCCACCCACCACCCACCCAACCACCCACCACCCACCCACCCAGACCCACCACCCACCCACCTACCACCCACCACCCACCCACCACCCACCACCCACCCACACGGACCCACCACCCACCACCCACCCACCACCCACCCACCACCCACCCACCCGGACCCACGGTGATGTTTTTGGTTTGGTGAGACGTCAAGATCGAGCAAGTTTGAAAGTGTGCGGTGGAATGAAACAGTTTGAGAAGCACAGATTTAGAGGACCGCAGAACTTGGGCAATTATTGGTGCCAGCTCATCGCCTGCACACAGGCTTCCAGGCTGTGTGCAGTTGCTCAGCGGTCGGGATACAATTTGCACAAACGACGCTATATAATACGAAACATTATTTTCTATCTACCTAATCGCATTCATCGTAATCAAACCTCACAAATTCTAGATTTGAAGCTTTCGTGGCTGCAATGATTCATATTCTTAGGTTTTTTCGGTAAAGTCCCCGTGTAGGTAAAAAACATTAAAAAGTAAAATAAAATAAAAATCACGACGTTTCGGAGGCAACACAAGTCTCCGTCTTCAGGTGGAACCGTCACAGCCACGACAGCCGTATCAAGTGAATGAGAGATTGCAAGAGCTACCACTCCGTTTATATAATGGTTGGAGAAAGTGGTGGGGCAAGGGCCGCATACTTACCATATTAATACAAAGTATGCGGCCCATGCCCCACCACTTTCTCCAACCATTATATAAACGGAGTGGTAGCTCTTGCAATCTCTCATGTACTTGATACGGCTGTCGTGGCTGTGACGGTTCCACCTGAAGACGGAAGCTTGTGTTGCCTCCGAAACGTCGTGATTTTTATTTTACTTTTTAATGTTTTTACCTACACGGTGACTTTACCGAAAAAACCTAAGAATATAAACCTCACAAAGCCAAACCGTGCCTTGTGTTCAAGTGCAAGGATTCCCTGAAGACTCCGCCTTCAACCTCGACGCAATAAGCAATCCTCTTCACATCATTGTGGGTGCCCGTCTTTATTCCGAGTTTAAACCCTTACAACGCATTCAGAACGTGAACTTGAAAAGAAACGCGAACTTGAAGTCAAATGTTTTTAAAGCGCTAAAGTAACGATTCGTAAGCTGTAATAGTTCTCTGAAACGCAACACAGCGCCTCAGTAACACCGTGACCTTGCAACAAAAAACTGATTTTCATCCGCAACATTTCGGACAAAGGAGCTCTTTCACGGCGCGTGGAGAGGCCGGGTGGGTCGAACGGATACGAGTTGGAGACGCCGTTGACCCACCCGACCACTCTGGCTTGTCTGTGCGCTGTGAAGGGCCAGTGGCCCGAAACGTCACATATTTAGTTGATACTCTTAGGCTATTTCGGTAAAGTCACGTAGAAGGGAAGTAATAAAATAATAAAAATAAAACATAAAATACAATTCTCACGACGTTTCGGCCACAACGCAAGCAGCCGTCCTCAGGTGAAGAACAGGTCTGTCGGGGAGACAGCGTCTGAATGAAACATGAATGAAACATTCAGACCTGTTCTTCACCTGAGGACGGCTGCTTGCGTTGTGGCCGAAACGTCGTGAAAATTGTATTTTATTATGTTTAAGTTTTATTATTTTATTATTTCCCTTCTACGTGACTTTACCGAAAGAACCAAGAAGATGGTGTCCCACTGTTACTCTGACCCTGTCAACCAATCACAGTTCACCCCGTATTCTTGTACAGGGAAGTTGAGTTTCCAGGTCCATAGGGCGTACAGCCGTTTCAATACGGGCAATAAGTATAACCCGTAAAAACAAAGTTTTTCACTCTAAATCCTTTATATGCGTGGCGGCTAGAGTCCTCTCGTCCTCTGGCTTGAGATGGCTGCCACCTATGGGTCAGATGATTGTCTGCCAGTATTAAACAATTGGTAATTAAATATTTAATTTGTTTTCCCTAAACAGTGTAAAATTTTGGATATTTTTTCACGAACATTAATTGTCACGCACAACGAGTCTGTGTGCAAAATGTCAGCTCGATTGGATCACGGGAAGTGGGTTAAAAAACGACCGAAAGATTTGCACGGTCCTAAGCAAGCAAGCAAGCGAACTTAATATAAAGGATTTAATAAAACATTTTTATGTTTCGATTTAAAGCTTCTTTCGTGACTGCAGGGATTCATCTTCTTGGTTCTTTCGGTAAAGTCGTCACGTAGAAGGGAAGTAATAAATTGATAAAAAATAAAACGCACTAAAATAATTCTCACGACGTTTCGGCCACAACGCAAGCAGCCGTCCTCAGGTGGAGACCAGGTCTGTCGGGGAGACAGAGTCTGAATGCATTTCCCATAAATATGCAAAATTACTCTTGATATGCAAATTATTTTGTCGAAGCGCCCTTTCCCCCCCTTCCAACCCAGCTTATATATATACGCTCCAAGCTCGTGTGCTGTTTCATTCAGACGCTGTCTCCTCGACCGACCTGGTCTTCACCTGAGGACGGCTGCTTGCGTTGTGGCTGAAACGTCGTGAGAATTATTTAATTATGTTTTATTATTTTATTATTTCCATTCTACGTGACTTTACCGACAGACCTGTTCTCCACCTGAGGACGGCTGCTTGCGTTGTGGCCGAAACGTCGTGAGAATTATTTAATGTTTAATTTTTATTATTTTATTATTTACATTCTACGCGACTCTGGTGGGCCCACCGTAACGACACAAGTGTGTGGCAAGGCGTCTCGCTAAAACATTGTAAATGTGGGGTCTCCGCCCGGAACTCCACCCGCGTCGCCCTGAACCCCAAAGTCGCTCCAGGGGAAGGGGAAGCTGGCCCCTTGGCCCTCCTCCTCGGGGTCGCCTCCGTTCCCAGCGGCTTCGGTCAGCGCTCCTGCGTTCGGTAGCACGAAGGGGTTTGCGGGTGGAGAGAGTTGAGGATGGGGGGGGGGGGGGTGTCGTCAATGTGTCCATTGAGCTTAATGCAGTCGCGTTCACGGGGTTGTAAGGACACGACACCCACTAGAGCAGCGGTCGGAAAGCTGTGGCTCGCGAGCCATACACATGGCTCTTCCGCTGACGGGATGTGGCTCCCAGGCAATTTCGAGTTTAAAAAAAATAATAATTAAAAAATTAAAAAATCAGTTTGGAACTGATTTTTAAATACTTGTGATATTGCTTAATAATACCGTGTCATCTTCTTGGTTCTTTCGGTAAAGTCGCCACGTAGCAGGGAAGTAATAAAATAATAAAATAATAAAACATAATAAAATTATTCTCACGACGTTTCGGCTACAACGCAAGCAGCCGTCCTCAGGTGAAGAATGAGACACTGCCAAGCTTGGAGCTTATATAAAAGCTGGGTTCATTGCTTCTACATACTAATTAACATTCCCTCCCTTTGTTAATGCTACCCCCTGCCCCCTCCCTTGGTGCTGCTGATCCTGCGTAATGCACGGGCATAATATGACTTTGAAACCCCCCCACCCACCTCCTACGCATTTCCCATGAATATGCTAAACTCCTCTTGATATGCACATTCTTTTATTAAGGCGCTCTTCTTGCACCTCCAACCCAGCTTATATATAAGCTCCAAGCTTGGCAGTGTCTCATTCTTCACCTGAAGACGGCTGCTTGCGTTGTAGCCGAAACATCGTGAGAATTATTTTATTTTATTATGTTATATTTTTATTATTTTATCACTTCCCTTCTACGTGACTTTACCGAACGAACCAAGAAGACGTCAATCCAAGTGAACGTTTACATCGCCCCAAGGGAATCAATCGCTGCTTGCCGGGACTTAATTATTATTTACTTTAGTGCCGAGCCATCGTTGAGGCTTTTTTTAATTTTTTTACGAGCAGCTATTTGACTTCCGAAACGAATTGCTGAAATCTTCTTGGTTCTTTCGGTAAAGTCATCACGTAGAATGGAAATAATAAAATAATACAAATAAAACATAATAAAATAATTTGACGTTTCGGCCACAACGCAAGCAGCCGTCCTCAGGTGAAGAGCAGGTCTGTCGGAAAGACAGCGTCATTCAGTCATTCAGACGCTGTCTTTCCGACAGACCTGTTCTTCACATGAGGACGGCTGCTTGCGTTTCGGCCGAAAGGTCGTGAGAATTATTTCATTATGTTTTATTTTTATTATTTTATTATTTCCCTTCTACGTGGTGACTTTACCGAAAGAACCAAGAAGATGAATCCCTGCAGTCACGAAAGCTTTAAATCGAAAATTGCTGAAATATTCACCAAAGTCAAGAACACACACGCACACACACGAGTGTAGGTGGTTGTGTAAGTGCCGTACCGGCTTTAAACATCTCAGCGGCGGTTTCTCCAGCGACTGCATCCAACGGAATCTGTGAAGCAAGAGACACGTGACATTTCAATTTTTAGCTGCCACGTATCATTGTTATAAAGACACGTTGGAGCCGAGTGTTACATTCACCGCCGCTGTGTCTCAAGATTATCATCCTCATGCCCCTTGAAGTTTTTGCGCACCGTACGTAGACAATCGAAGGTGCGGGGGGAGGGGGGCAGGGAACAAACTGAACACAAAAAGCAGTAATTCTAGATTTGAAGCTTTCGTGACTGCAAGGATTCATATTCTTAGGTTTTTTCGGTAAAGTCACCGTGTAGGTAAAACATCAAAATTAATAAAAATAAAATAAATAAAATAAAATAAAAATCACGATGCAGCAAATCCGGCTGTGACGGTCCCACCTGATGACGGACACTTGTGTTGCCTCCGAAACGTCGTGATTTTTATTTTATTTTATTTTCATTAATTTTGATGTTTTACCTACACGGTGACTTTACCGAAAACACCTAAGAATACAAAAAGCAGTTCTAAAGAAATGAGCTTTCAATTTAGACAATAATATGTATGAACCTGCGACGCGCAGTGTTCGCTATTCTACGCTTACGTGATGATGGTTACAAACTGAGTAATCATTGGAAAGATGTGATTAACCATGCAAAAAAGATTTAACTACACTTATTTGGACAATCTTATTTGACAGACAACTATTACAGGTTATTGATAGACAGCCAGTTGCTTGTTTTACCATGTTTAGCTGTTTCTTTTTTCACACTATTGTTACGTAGGCCAGGCTTAGTCACATACCGTACCTTTCCATAACAAAGATTTGTAACGTCACGGGGTGACCAGTGAGGTCTGCATAAAATTGTAATAAAGCCGGCACTGATAAGGGGTTGACAGGCACGTTAATCACCAACGGCATGAGCGAGGAACTTGCAGGGGCTGCACCTTTAACTAACATATTTGATTGTTGAAAGTCAAATTGATGAATGCATCCTGAGTGTCTAAAAAAAACCCTCTACATCTTGGTGAGCCGTTGCATTGTGATTTTTAGTCTTACGCTGATGTCCCGTCTGTCCAATACAGCATTTACCGCATATGCAATTGATCCGATATACACCTTCTTATTCTTGGTTCTTTCGATAAAGTCACGTAAATAGAAAAGAAAAACATCTAAAAGTGAAAACAATAAGATGAAATAAAAATAATAAAATAAAATACAAATAAATATAAAATAATAAAAGCAAAAAAACCCACGACGTTTATCTTATAATTTTATTTTAATTTATTTTAAAATTTTGTTTTCTATTTACGTGACAACTTCTGTTGATAACTTCGTTAATTCATCTTCAGTACGAGACACTAGTTTTAGAATTTTGCCTACCGTAGCCAATCTTTTCTTTTGCAAAACACGGCCTAATTTGTCAGTAACCCCGAGACATACGCCATTCAAATTGCCTTGATAATCCGATCACTTTCAGCAGTATTGTCGTGCGGCGAAAACACGTTTGCCTTGAATACAAAACAACTTACGGGGGCGCCGAATAATGTCAACTCGAAATTTTCCTGCTGCTGCAGCTCGGCCTCCAAGTCGTATCCATCGTCCTGGGAACGCAAAAGTCTCGCGTCGTCATTCCACACGCGCAGCGCACCACGCGATGCAGCGATCGACGCCGCCAGTTAGTCCGTGTTCCGATTTAAAGCTTCTTTCGTGACTGCAGCAGGGATTCATCTTCTTGGTTCTTTCGGTAAAGTCATCACGTAGAAGGGAAATAATAAAATAATAGAAATAAAACATAATAAGATACAATTCTCACGACGTTTCGGCCACAACGCAAGCAGCCGTCCTCAGGTGAAGAACAGGTCTGTCGGAAAGACAGCGACTGAATGAACAGGTCTGTCGGAAAGACAGCGTCTGAACGAACAGGTCTGTCGGAAAGACAGCGTCTGAATGAACAGGTCTGTCGGAAAGACAGCGTCTGAATGAACAGGTCTGTCGGAAAGACAGCATCTGAATGAACAGGTCTGTCGGAAAGACAGCGTCTGAATGAACAGGTCTGTCGGAAAGACAGCGTCTGAATGAACAGGTCTGTCGGAAAGACAGCGTCTGAATGAACAGGTCTGTCGGAAAGACAGCGTCTGAATGAACAGGTCTGTCGGAAAAGACAGCGTCTGAATGAACAGGTCTGTCGGAAAGACAGCCGTTCTGACAGCGTCTGAATACAGGTCTGTCGGAAAGACAGCGTCTGAATGAACAGGTCTGTCGGAAAGACAGCGTCTGAATGAACAGGTCTGTCGGAAAGACAGCGTCTGAATGAACAGGTCTGTCGGAAAGACAGCGTCTGAATGAACAGGTCTGTCGGAAAGACAGCGTCTGAATGAACAGGTCTGTCGGAAAGACAGCGTCTGAATGAACAGGTCTGTCGGAAAGACAGCGTCTGAATGAACAGGTCTGTCGGAAAGACAGCGTCTGAATGAACAGGTCTGTCGGAAAGACAGCGTCTGAATGAACAGGTCTGTCGGAAAGACAGCGTCTGAATGAACAGGTCTGTCGGAAAGACAGCGTCTGAATGAACAGGTCTGTCGGAAAGACAGCGTCTGAATGAACAGGTCTGTCGGAAAGACAGCGTCTAAATGAACAGGCCTGTCGGAAAGACAGCGTCTGAATGAACAGGTCTGTCGGAAAGACAGCGTCTGAATGAACAGGTATGTTGGAAAGACAGCGTCTGAATGAACAGGTCTGTCGGAAAGACAGCGTCTGAATGAACAGGCCTGTCGGAAAGACAGCGTCTGAATGAACAGGTCTGTCGGAAAGACAGCGTCTGAATGAACAGGTCTGTCGGAAAGACAGCGTCTGAATGAACAGGTCTGTCGGAAAGACAGCGTCTGAATGAACAGGTCTGTCGGAAAGACAGCATCTGAATGAACAGTGAACAGGTCTGTCGGAAAGACAGCGTCTGAATGAACAGGTCTGTCGGAAAGACAGCGTCTGAATGAACAGGTCTGTCGGAAAGACAGCGTCTGAATGAACAGGTCTGTCAGAAAGACAGCGTCTGAATGAACAGGTGTGTCAGAAAAACAGCGTCTGAAGAACAGGTCTGTCGGAAAGAGAGCGTCTGAATGAACAGGTCTGTCGGAAAGACAGCGTCGAATGAACAGGTCCGTCGGAAAGACAGTGTCTGAATGAACAGGCCTGTCGGAAAGACAGCATCTGAATGAACAGGTCTGTCGGAAAGACAGCGTCTGAATGAACAGGTCTGTCGGAAAGACAGCGTCTGAATGAACAGGTCGGAAAGACAGCGTCTGAATGAACAGGTCTGTCGGAAAGACAGCATCTGAATGAACAGGTCTGTCGGAAAGACAGCGTCTGAATGAATAGGTCTGTCGGAAAGACAGCGTCTGAATGAACAGGTCTATCGGAAAGACAGCATCTGAATGAACAGGTCTGTCGGAAAGACAGCGTCTGAACGAACAGGTCTGTCGGAAAGACAGCGTCTGAATGAACAGGTCTGTCGGAAAGACAGCGTCTGAATGAACAGGTCTGTTGGAAAGACAGCGTCTGAATGAACAGGTCTGTCGGAAAGACAGCATCTGAATGCACAGGTCTGTCGGAAAGACAGCGTCTGAATGAACAGGTCTGTCGGAAAGACAGCGTTGAATGAACAGGTCTGTCGGAAAGACAGCGTTTTGAAACGAACAGGTCTGTCGAAAGACAGCGTCTGAATGAACAGGTCTGTCGGAAAGACAGCATCTGAATGCACAGTCTGGCGGAAAGACAGCGTCTGAATAAACAGTTCGTCGGAAAGACAGCGTCTGAATGAACAGGTCTGTCGGAAAGACAGCGTCTGAACGAACAGGTCTGTCGGAAAGACAGCCGTTTGAACGCACAGGTCTGTCGGAAAGACAGCGTCTGAATGAACAGGTCTGTCGGAAAGACAGCGTCTGAATGACAGGTCTGTCGGAAAGACAGCGTCTGAATGAACAGGTCTGTCGGAAAGACAGCGTCTGAATGAACAGGTCTGTCGGAAAGACCGTGTCTGAATGAACAGGTCTGTCGGAAAACAGCGTCTCGAATGATGAACAGGCCTGTCGGAAAGACAGCGTCTGAATGAACAGGTCTGTCGGAAAGACAGCGTCTGAATAAAGAGGTCTGTCGGAAAGACAGCGTCTGAACGAACAGGTCTGTCGGAAAAACAGCGTCTGAATGAACAGGTCTGTCGGAAAGACAGCGTCTGAATGAACAGGTCTGTCGGAAAAACAGCGTCTGAATGAACAGGTCTGTCGGAAAGACAGCGTCTGAATGAACAGGTCTGTCGGAAAGACAGCGTCTGAATGAACAGGTCTGTCGGAAAGACAGCGTCTGAATGAACAGGTCTGTCGGAAAGACAGCGTCTGAATGAACAGGTCTGTCGGAAAAACAGCGTCTGAATGAACAGGTCTGTCGGAAAGACAGCGTCTGAATGAACAGGCCTGTCGGAAAGACAGCGTCTGAATGAACAGGTCTGTCGGAAAGACAGCGTCTGAATGAACAGGTCTGTCGGAAAGACATTCGGAAAGACAGACCTGTTCATTTAGACGCTGTCTTTCCGACAGACCTGTTCTTCACCTGAGGACGGCTGCTTGCATTGTGGCCGAAACGTCGTGAGAATTGTATTGTATCATGTTTTATTTTTATCATTTCATTATTTCACTTCTACGTGACTTTACCGAAAGAACCAAGAAGATGAGTCCGTGTTACTCATCTGCGGCTGTGCGAGCGGCGCTCACGTGGCGCGTTGGCTCACGTCACCTGCGCCAGGTTTGTTGCGACGGACATGGGCGAGCCTGGGTACGAGAAGCACGGCGAGTCTGGCGGAAAGCCATCGACGGCGTCCTCTCGCGAGGTTTCCTCATCGTCAGATGATGTCGGGGGCGAGCAGTTCTCCTCTTCCGGATAGTCGCTCCTGCCAAAGAAATACGCGCAAATTAATTGCTGTGCCGTACACGACGTTGAGTGACAGCGTGACGTATCCGCCCGTTATCTGCGTGGTGTTGGTGGCTGCGCGCACGCCTGCAATGCAGCACTGGAGGTAGCAAGGGTCGGTGGAAGAGGTCGCAACCGGGTACCCGATACCCGTACCCTACCCGATACCCGTACCCTACCCGATACCCGTACCCTACCCGATACCCGTACCCTACCCGATACCCGTACCCTACCCGATACCCGTACCCTACCCGATACCCGGCTACCCGTGCCCGATACCCGTACCCTACCCGATACCCGTACCCTACCCGATACCCGTACCCTACCCGATACCCGTACCCTACTCGATACCCGTACCCTACCCGATACCCATACCCTACCCGATACCCGGCTACCCGTGCCCGATACCCGTACCCTACCCGATACCCGTACCCTACCCGATACCCGTACACTACCCGATACCCGTACCCTACCCGATACCCGTACCCTACCCGATACCCGTACCCTACCCGATACCCGTATACTACCCGATACCCGTACCCTACCCGATACCCGTACACTACCCGATACCCGTACCCTACCCGATACCCGTACCCTACCCGATACCCGTACCCTACCCGATACCCGGCTACCCGTACCCGGCCGAGTACGGGTAGGCCGTGAGTCACTGGTGAGTCACCGTTTGTCACTCATTTCCCAACGTCTTGTCTCTTCTCACAATTCAAGTTCCTAGAATCAACCCACCCGCGCCTGCAACATGGCTTCATCCCAGAGGTCGCAATCGGGTACCCGATACCCGTACCCTACCCGTACCCGGCCGGGTACGGGTAGGGTACGGGTACGGCCGGGTACGGGTAGGGTACGGGTACGGGTAGGGGTGACCAGCCCCTCCCCACCCAGCCCCACCCTCCCCAGCCAGCCCCACCCCTCCCACCCCCCACCCAGCCCCTCACTACCCTCCCCTCCCCACCCTCCCCTCCCAGCCCCTCCCCACCCAGCCCCTCCCCACCCTCCCCACCCAGCCCCTCCCCACCCTCCCCACCCAGCCCCTCCACACCCTCCCCACCCAGCCCCTCCCCACCCAGCCCCTCCCCACCCTCCCCTCCCAGCCCCTCCCCACCCTCCCCACCCAGCCCCACTCCTCCTACCCCCCACCCAGACCCACCCTCTCCACCCAGCCCCACCCCTCCCATTTTGGATGCACGGCGGACGGACGGACGGACACAACAATCCCCTGTGGGCTGCTGTAACCAGGAGGTTCCTACCAGTATTATAGGAAAGCAAAGACCCTCGCCCTCCACAAGCTAAGGCCAGACGAACCCTCCGTGCCGTTCAGTGGCCAACCCAGCCCCCCGCTACTCCCACCGGCACTCTCCGTTGGTCACGGCAAAGTGCGGTGCACGGCCGTCAGTCCCCACCACCCCCCCGGGTTCCTCTCAACTCCCTCGGCCGCTCGTGCGCAAGTCGCTTCCACGTGCTCTTAGTTCTTTCGGTAAAGTCACCATGTAGGTAAAAAAATGAAATTAAAATTAATAAAAAAAATCACGACGTTTCGGAGGCGGAAGCTTGCGTTGCCTCCGAAACGTCGTGATTTTTTTATTAACTTCAATTTCATTTTTTTACCTACGCGGTGACTTTACCGAAAGAACCAAGAGTATGAATCCTTGCAGTCGCGAAAGCTTCAAGTCGCTTCCACGTGCTCACCGCTGAGGGCCGAGCGAGCTTGAACGTGTTGCCGTGTGGAATGAGAAAAGTTCGCGAGGCACCGGTCTGTCTCGAACTACGCCATGGCACCTATTCGACACCCACGCGCAACATTTCTGCGTCCATCCAGCAACCCGCGTTGCCATCACGGTGATGGATTACAGGCCACGCGCCTATCCACCACCACCACCACCACCACCCGGTTATCAATATCACATCGCGAGCTGTTGATTGTTGGGAAATGGGTTACCTTGGGGACATCATGTCATCGTCATGTGCTGCCATGTACTCTTCTTGTGCTTCTACGTCATCTTCTTGTGCTGCGCCATCTCCTGCTGTTATGTCATCTTCTTCTGTTATGTCATCTCCTCCTGCTGTTATGTCATCTTCTTCTGTTAGGTCATCTCCTCCTGCTACATCATCTCCTGCTACATCATCTCCTTCTGTTATGTCATCTTCTTCTGCTGCACAATCTTCTTGTGCTGCACAATCTTCTTGTGCTACACCATCTCCTGCTACATCATCTCCTGCTGTTATGTCATCTCCTTCTGTTATGTAATCTTCTTCTGCTGCACAATCTTCTTGTGCTACACCATCTCCTGCTACATCATCTCCTGCTACACCATCTCCTGCTACATCATCTCCTCCTGCTACATCATCTCCTTCTGTTATGTCATCTTCTTGTGCTACACCATCTCCTGCTACACCATCTCCTGCTACATCATCTTCTTGTGCTGCGCCATCTCCTGCTGTTATGTCATCTCCTTCTGTTATGTCATCTTCTTCTGCTGCACAATCTTCTTGTGCTGCACAATCTTCTTGTGCTACACCATCTCCTGCTACATCATCTCCTCCTGCTACATCATCTTCTTGTGTTGCATCATCTTCTTGTACTACACCATCTTCTTGTGCTACATCATCTGCTTGTGCTGCTACACCATCTGCTTGTGCTGCTGTGTGGTATTCCTGTGCTACATCATCTCCTTCTGCTATGTCATCTTCTTGTGCTACACCATCTCCTGCTACATCATCATCTTCTGTTATGTCATCATCTTCTGTTATGTCATCATTTTCTGTTATGTAATCATCTTCTGTTATATAATCATCTTCTGTTATGTCATCATCTTCTGTTATATCATCGCCTTCTGTTATATCATCTCCTCCTGCTACAGCATCTCCTTCTGTTACGCCATCTGCTTGTGCTGCTGTGCCATCTGCTTGTGCTGCTGTGTGGTATTCCTGTGCTAATGTGCCATCTCCTCGTGGCGCAGATGTGGAAGGCGTGGCTTGGGAAGAAGATATTTTTCCTCTGGTGGAAGCAGATGACTTGGGACATACAATTGATTCCTGAATATATAAACAAATAGACACATCGCGATAAACAACACAAGCAAACACCGTGACACACACACACACACGTGCCGTCTACCGTTAAACGCGTCAGATGTGCCCATCGGTGATCGCTCGTAATCTTGTCTCGGCGTGTTACGGTCAAATTTCGATTTAAAGCTTCTTTCGTGACTGCAGCAGGGATTCATCTTCTTGGTTCTTTCGGTAAAGTCGTCACGTAGAAGGGAAGTAATAAAATAATAAAATAAAACATAATAAAATAATTCTCACGACGTTTCGGCTACAACGCAAGCAGCCGTCTTCAGGTGAAGAATGAGACACTGCCAAGCTTGGAGCTTATATATAAGCTGGGTTGGAGGTGGAAGAAGAGCGCCTTAACAAAAAAAGAATGTGCATATCAAGCTCATATATAAGCTCCAAGCTTGGCAGTGTTTCATTCTTCACCTGAAGACGGCTGCTTGCGTTGTGGCCGAAACGTCGTGAGAATTATTTTATTGTGTTTTATTTTTATTATTTTATTACTTCCCTTCTACGTGACGACTTTACCGAAAGAACCAAGAAGATGTTACGGTCGTTAAACGTTTCGCCTCGCTCGATTTCGAACTCAAGATTTCTCCGCCGTTAATTCTTCGCAACCAAAGGACCCCCTCTCCAAACACCCCGCGGGCAAATCGGCTCGTAGCGACGCTCCCAAGAATGTAACGACGAGGGAGGATTTGAGTGCGTAGGGCCCCCTTGCTTCACCGACTCCTGAGTAGCTTCAAGCGCCACTCATTGCATCCCGTCGCTGCCGTCGGCAGTCTGGCCAAGGGGGCACCCCCACTGGCAGCTGTCCCTGTGTGGCACGAGGTGTACCACAGCAGCGGCGAGCGAGTGGGAGGTCATTTGACAGTCTTCCATTTCATTCGAGGCAATTTTGAAACGAGGACCGAGGGGGGTGGGCCAGTCTGCGGCCCGCAATTGAAAGGTCACGAGTTCAACCGCTGATTGGATTGCCGACTAAGCCCATCATCATCATCATCATCCCTCTCTCCGCGCTGTAATGAGTTAATGAGGACGTCACCCTGCTGCTGCTGCTGCTCTATATAAGAACGGGAGACACAGCAGAGCCCCTCAGCATTCTGGCGAATTGTGCGATGATGATGCTGGATGCAATTACCAGCGAAACGTCACAGCGCTACTCAAATAGTAAATTGTTGTGGTTTCACGCTTCAACACACACCGGTGTGGGGGCTAAAGCAGTGAACTATTTTGTCTTTTGTCAACGTGACACTTTTTTACCGATTGGCCGTGTCGGGTGGTGGAGGGTTACGACACATTTATAAATAACGCGGCGATCTAAACCCAAACACGTTGATTGTGAATAAAATAATAACGATAACCACCAGACAGACAGGGAAGCCAATAAGTGGTTGGTCCTATGGAGGGACTCACCCTCACCATAGGATCACGTGGGATTTCCAGCATTGGCGTCGGTACGGGATTGGTGTCTGGCTGTAGAACTTTGGGGTACCTGATAATTGTTTTTTTACCCTTCTACCTGGCAACAAAACTGACACCTTTTTACAAGGATAATGTGCACATTATCAGAGTTATGTCTTTTGTTTGTATTATGACTGCAGGTATTGTGGTCTATGCAAGCATGACTCCTTGTAAAAAAAGGTGTCAGTTTTGTTGCCAGATAGAAGGGTAAAAAAACAATTATCATATTTTTACTGGCAAATGAGGTTGCCATAGTGTAGATGTTTGCCCCGAGCTCTCATACTCTGATGGTGCATTGTCTTTGAGTTGTGCGCCTTTTGGCGTCATCTGGTCCAACCCATGTGAGACTAGGTTCTAAGGAAAGCTGTCTCGGGTGTGGACCAATCAGCTTCAAGGACCATGTGAGACTAGGCTCTAAGGAAAGCTGTCTCGGGTGTGGACCAATCAACTTCAAGGACCATGTGAGACTAGGCTCTAAGGAAAGCTGTCTCGGGTGTGGACCAATCAACTTCAAGGACAGTGCATACATTATCAGAGTTATGTTCTTTTGTTTGCATTACGACTGCAGGTATTGCGGTCTATGCAAACATGACTCCTTGTAAAAAAAAGGTGTCAGTTTTGTTGCCAGATAGAAGGGTAAAAAAAACAATTATCATATTTTTACTGGCAAATGAGGTTCCCATAGTTTGCGGTACCTGATTCATCCACAGGGGGTTGGCGGTGCCGGTCTCGGGCTCCATGTGGCCTGTGTCCATTGCTTCGTCTTCATCTTCTACTTCTTCTTCTTAAAGACACAAAAGTTACGAGCACAAGTCAGATCTGAAACACGGCAGAACTGATTCTTCGGCCGTTACCGATCATTGCTACAACTCGGTGGGCTCTCATGAAATTGTCTTTTCCGAGACCAAGGTTCTCTGCAAACCTCCTGGCTACCATCAAAGGTTTGTACACGAAGCCATACAAATATACAAACACAGACATAATTTCAACCGTGATGACGGTTACAAACTGAGTAATCATTGGAAAGATGTTATTGACCATGCAAAAAAGATTTAACTACACTTATTTGGACCATCTTATTTGACAGACAACTATTACAGGTTATTGATAGACAGCCAGGCTTGTTTTACCAGGTTTAGTTGTTTCTTTTTTCACACTATTGTTACGTAGGCCAGGCTTAGTCACAAACCGTACCTCTCCATAACAAAGGCTCAGCCTCTTAAGCCTCACCTTACCGTATTAATAAAAAGTATGCCGTACTTGGCCCTTACCCCCCCTCTCCAACCATTATATAATCGGAGTGGTAGCTCCTGAAATCTCTCATTTACTTGATACGGCTGTCGTGGCTGTGACGGTTCCACCTGAAGACGGAAGCTTGTGTTGCCTCCGAAACGTCGTGATTTTTAATTTACTCTTATTAATTTTAATGTTTTACCTACACGGTGACTTTACCGAAACAACCTAAGAATAAAAGCTACTTTGTTTAACCCGTAGGCTTTCGCGACCATGTCTGTCGCTTACCCTATTAGTAATCCAACCGGTAACGGATATCCATTCTGATTGCGATGGACGTGTAGTGGTGGTAACTACTCGCTGTTCGCAAACTGTGAGAGCTGATCGTAAACAAGGTTTTCCCGCTCAATCAAACGGTCAGGGTCAGATGGGGCGAGGTAGGATCCAAACGCCAGATTGGGAAGGACCAATCGGAGGGTCCCACAAGGTGGCCGGGGATTGGACAACCCGGCCACGAACAGGTATAAAAGCCAGAGCGCTGAGAGCTCTGGAGGAGTTCTGCTACACGAAGACCCAAGTCGGCCGAAGACGTCTAGGACCCTGGACCAAGCCGTCCAGCCCTCGTCAGGGCTCGGGCTCAGAGTCACCAGCGGTCGGGGAGAGATCCCCTAGGTCAGGGGTCGGGAACCTTGTTGACTGGGAGAGCCATAAAAGCCAAATATTTCTAAATATATTTCATTGACAGCCATATAGTGTAATTTTTAACGTGTAATAAATTAAATATGTCTTACTTTTAATGTGACTTCTGGTCACGGGACCCGTGACCCGATAAATTTTATCTTCAAAACTAATTTCTATTTACTTTAAAATGACACACAGTATTATTAAGCAATATCACAAGTATTTTAAAATCAGTTCCAAACTGATTTTATTTTTATTTTTTTATTATAATTTTTTTCAACTCAAAATTGTCTGGGAGCCATATGCCGTCACCGGAAGAGCCATGTGTATGGCTCGCGGGCCATAGGTTCCCGACCGCTGCCCTAGGTCCAGCCAGAGGACGCTGGGAGAGCAGGGAGATTAGACAGCCTGCAAGGTCCGGAGACTTGTACCTTCTGAGGGTAACGGGTGAGGGGACCATATACCTCTTAGTGTGATAGGGACTGTGTGTTAATATAATAAACAGTGTGTGCCATAAAGAAGTCCAGAAGTCCGTCCTTACAACACTACACACGCATTAACCCTCCCACACCTCTGGTCTTCGCACCGGATTGGCCCACACAAGTGACGATGTCACACTGATCCCCTCTATTTGAGACCGAAACACGAGGAGGATTTCTCCACGACTCTGCGGCTGTCGCCTGATGATGCCGGTTGTTGTGATTACCGGCGAAACGTCACAGCTACTCTAATCGTAAATGTTGTGAGCTGACTCTCCGACACACCAGTGCGCTGAACTAGTAACGAGTTGGCGCGCTTTCACTACGTGGCAAACCTTCCCACTCGGCTGTATTGGGCGGGTTAGGGTTACCGGCGAAACGTCACAGCTACTCGAATCGTAAATGTTGTGAGCTGACTCTCCGACACACCAGTGCGCTGAACTAGTAACGAGTTGGCGCGCTTTCTTTACGTGGCAAACCTTCCCACTCGGCTGTATTGGGCGGGTTATGGTTGGGGTTACCGGCGAAACGTCACAGCTACTCGAATTGTAAATGTTGTGAGCTGACTCTCCGACACACCAGTGCGCTGAACTAGTAACGAATTGGGGCGCTTTCACTACGTGGCAAACCTTCCCACTCGGCTGTATTGGGCGGGTTATGGTTAGGGTTACCGGCGAAACGTCACAGCTACTCGAATCGTAAATGTTGTGAGCTGACTCTCCGACACACCAGTGCGCTGAACTAGTAACGAGTTGACGCGCTTTCACTACGTGGCAAACCTTCCCACTCGGCTGTATTTGGCGGGTTATGGTTAGGGTTACCGGCGAAACGTCACAGCTACTGGAATTGTAAATGTTGTGAGCTGACTCTCCGACACACCATTGCGCTGAACTAGTAACGAGTTGGAGCGCTTTCACTACGTGGCAAACCTTCCCACTCAGCTGTATGGGGGGGTTAGGGTTACCAGCGAAACGTCACAGCTACTCGAATTGTAAATGTTGTGAGCTGACTCTCCAACACACCAGTGCGCTGAACTAGTAACGAGTTGGAGCGCTTTCACTACGTGGCAAACCTTCCCACTCGGCTGTATTGGGCGGGTTATGGTTAGGGTTGTGATTACCGGCGAAACGTCACAGCTACTCGAATTGTAAATGTTGTGAGCTGACTCTCCGACACACCAGTGCGCTGAACTAGTAACGAGTTGGCGCGCTTTATTTACGTGGCAAACCTTCCCACTCGGCTGAACTAGTAACGAGTTGGCGCGCTTTCACTACGTGGCAAACCTTCCCACTCGGCTGTATTGGGCGGGTTATGGTTAGGGTTGTGATTACCGGCGAAACGACACAGCTACGCGAATTGTAAATGTTGTGAGCTGACTCTCCAACACACCAGTGCGCTGAACTAGTAACGAGTTGGCGCGCTTTCTTTACGTGGCAAACCTTCCCACTCGGCTGTATTGGGCGGGTTATGGTTACCGGCGAAACGTCACAGCTACTCGAATTGTAAATGTTGTGAGCTCACTGTCCAACACACCAGTGCGCTGAACTAGTAACGAGTTGGCGCGCTTTCTTTACGTGGCAAACCTTCCCACTCGGCTGTATTGGGCGGTGGCGCGTTTAACGACGCGCGCATATTTACGCGATCAAACACGAAAATCACGGAACAGCTTCGGTCGTTCGGCACGCGAACAGCTGTCGCCACCAATGACGATCGGCATAAAGATACGGGGCAAAGTTTAATCGAGTATATAATTACAATAACACCGCCTCACATCGTTGCACCTGATGAGTTAATGAGTCAATGATGACGTCACTATATAAGCAGCAGGGTGACGTCATCACTAGTTAACGATGACGTCACCCTGCTGCTGCTGCTCTATATAAGCAGCAGGGTGACGTCATCACTAGTTAGTGATGACGTCACCCTGCTGCTGCTGCTGCTCTATATAAGCAGCAGGGTGACATCATCACTAGTTAACGATGACGTCACCCTGCTGCTGCTCTATATAAGCAGCAGGGTGACGTCATCACTAGTTAGTGATGACGTCACCCTGCTGCTGCAGCTGCTCTATATAAGCAGCAGGGTGACGTCATCACTAGTTAACGATGACGTCACCCTGCTGCTGCTGCTCTATACAAGCAGCAGGGTGACGTCATCACTAGTTAGTGATGACGTCACCCTGCTGCTGCTACTCTATATAAGCAGCAGGGTGACGTCATCGCTAGTTAGTGATGACGTCACCCTGCTGCTGCTCTATATATAAGCAGCAGGGTGACGTCATCACTAGTTAGTGATGACGTCACCCTGCTGCTGCTGCTCTATACAAGCAGCAGGGTGACGTCATCACTAGTTAGTGATGACGTCACCCTGCTGCTGCTACTCTATATAAGCAGCAGGGTGACGTCATCGCTAGTTAGTGATGACGTCACCCTGCTGCTGCTACTCTATATAAGCAGCAGGGTGACGTCATCGTTAGTTAGTGATGACGTCACCCTGCTGCTTCTCTATATAAGCAGCAGGGTGACGTCATCACTAGTCAATGATGACGTCACCCTGCTGCTGCTGCTTATATAGAGCAGCAGGGTGACGTCATCACTAGTGATGACGTCATCACTAGTGAATGATGACGTCACCCTGCTGCAGCTGCTGCTGCCGCTCTATATAAGAACGGGAGACACAGCAGAGCCCCTCAAGATTCTGCCGAATTGCCCGATGATGCTGCTGGTTGCAATTACCAGCGAAACGTCACAGCGCTACTCAACAATTGTAAACGTTGTGGTTTCACGCTTCAACACACACCGCTGTGTGGGGGCTAAAGCAGCGAACTAATTTGTCTTTTGTCAACGTGACACTTTTTTACCGATTGGCCGTGTCGGGTGGTGGAGGGTTACGACACATTTATAAATAACGCGGCGATCTAACACCCAAACACGTTGATTGTGAATACGGGCGAAAGGTCACGAGGGAAATAAAAACTATCTGCAAGTAAGAAAAACTACACGCAAATAAACGTACGCACATTTCAGCGGGTAACGGGACGTCCCGTATGACGATGCCGTATCGCGTGGCCAGGTCTAGCCCGCCACGAGTAGCCACGAGTGTGATCGCACAGCGCCCACAGACCCCTTGCGTACGTACCCATGTCGCGTGCTTCTTGGGCCGTCTTTGTAGGCGCCCCTCGTCTGTTGTGACGCCTGTGAAGACAGCGCAGCCTCGTCACCGCCAATCGAGCTCAGGTCGACAGGAAGCGACGTTTGCCTTGCGGTCAAAACGTCGTCGTTTTTTTAAACCCTTTATATTAAGTTCGCTTGCTTGCTTTGCTAACGACCGTGCAAATCCTTCGGTCGTTTTTTAACCCACTTCCCGTGATCCAATCGAGCTGACATTTTGCTACACAGACTCGTTGTGCGAGACAATTGATGTTCGTGAATTTTTTTTCTCCAAAATTTTACACTGTTTAGGGAAAACAAATTAAATATTTAATTACCAATTGCTTAATACTGGCAGACAATCATCTGACCCATAGGTGGCAGCCATCTCAAGCCAGAGGACGAGAGGACTCTAGCCGCCACGCATATAAAGGATTTAGAGTGAAAAACTTTGTTTTTACGGGTTACACTTATTGTTATTTTCTAACTGAACACATTCATAAATTATGTTGATGCGTTGCGATCGAAACGTCGTGGGTTTTTTGCTTTAATAATTTTCAATTGATTATTTTTTTTTTGTATTTTCTATCTACCCGACTTCACCGAAAGACCCAAAGAATATGGATTCCTGAAGTCACGAAAGCTTTAAGTCACGATCCAGTTCTGACCGTTCTCAAGTAAATCCGCCTATTCGAACTTACTTGGTGTCACCCCTGGGACACCCTTGCGAATGGAACGCTTGCAGCTCATGCGATTTTCCACGTGATATGATAACAACGGTGTGTACAGACAGTCCCCGACTTACGACTCTCACTACAACAACACGCACAGACAGTCCCCGACTTACGACTCTCACTATAACAACATGTACAGGCAGTCCCCGACTTACGACTCTCACTACAACAACACGCACATACAGTCCCCGACTTACGACTCTCACTATAACAACATGCACATACAGTCCCCTACTTACAATTCTCACAATAACAACACGCACAGACAGTCCCCTACTTACAATTCTCACAATAACAACATGTACAGACAGTCCCCTACTTACGACTCTCACTATAACAACATGCACAGACAGTCCCCGACTTACGACTCTCACTATAACAACATGTACAGACAGTCCCCGACTTACGACTCTCACTATAACAACATGTACAGGCAGTCCCCGACTTACGACTCTCACTACAACAACACGCACATACAGTCCCCGACTTACGACTCTCACTATAACAACATGCACAGACAGTCCCCGACTTACGACTCTCACTACAACAACACGCACAGACAGTCCCCGACTTACGACTCTCACTATAACAACATGCACAGACAGTCCCCGACTTACGACTCTCACTATAACAACATGCACAGACAGTCCCCGACTTACGACTCTCACTATAACAACACGCACAGACAGTCCCCTACTTACGACTCTCACTATAACAACATGCACAGACAGTCCCCGACTTACGACTCTCACTATAACAACACGCACAGACAGTCCCCTACTTACGACTCTCACTATAACAACATGCACAGACAGTCCCCTACTTACAATTCTCACAATAACAACATGCACAGACAGTCCCCTACTTACGACTCTCACTATAACAACATGCACAGACAGTCCCCTACTTACGACTCTCACTATAACAACATGCACAGACAGTCCCCTACTTACGACTCTCACTATAACAACATGCACAGACAGTCCCCTACTTACGACTCTCACTATAACAACATGCACAGACAGTCCCCGACTTACGACTCTCACTATAACAACATGCACAGACAGTCCCCGACTTACGACTCTCACTATAACAACATGTACAGGCAGTCCCCGACTTACGACGGAGATGCGTTACGATGACCCCATCATCGTAAGTCGAAAATTTCGTAAGTCGAAGATGGTCTATAGCCTACCCAGGAGTCTTAAAGAACGGTGATAATTTAGCAAAACAAAGCAATTTACAATACCGTGCTGTATAAACTATATACTGTGTGTACGTATTAATTACAATACTGTATTGCACGGTAAAATGTAAACTAAAAAACAATAACCACAATACTTGCAGTCAAATGCAAACAAAAACAACACTGATAATGTATGCATTGTCCTTGCAAATGATTGGTCCACACCAGAGACAGCTTTCTTTGGAGCCTGGTCTCATATGGTGTTCGACCAGATGACGCCAATGCATAAATTATCAGAGTATTGTGTTTTTGTTTGCATTTGACTGCAAGTATTGTGGTTAATGTAGACATGAGTCCTTGCAAAAGGTGTCAGTTTTGCCAGAAAAAAGAGTAAAACCCCTATGAGTATATGTTGGTACTGGCAAAGGAGGTCCCATGATGTAGCTGCTCTACCCCGAGCTCTCATTACTCTGATGGTGCGTTGTCTTGAACTGTGTAACGCCTTTTGGCGTCATGTGGTCGAACACCATATGAGACTAGGCTCTAAAGAAAGCTGCCTCTGGTGTGGACCAATCAGTTTCAAAAACAATGCATAAATTAATGATCAGAGTGTTGTTTTTTGTTTGCATTTGACTGCAACTATTGTGGTTAATGTAGACATGATTCCTTGCAAAAGGTGTCAGTTTTGTTGGCAGATAAAAATGTTGAAAACCCTCCCTGTTAGTACCAGTGGTCATTCTTCGCCTGGGGTAGATGCGCCCCCCTGGGGGATACGAGATTATCTTTCTTGCCAAGACGTGGCCGGATTTTTGTAGAAGGTTAAATCATCGAAACACTTTGTTTCATCAACCCCTATGTGTTTTATTCTTTGGTTCTTTCGGTGAAGTCACGTCTAAAGATAAAATAATAATTTAAATAATAGCATTTTACGACGTTTCGATTGCAACACAAGCAATCATCATCGGGCATAAAAGAAATAGCAACAAAAATCTAACTAGAAAACTATAGACAGACACACAAGCAGACAGACATCACAAGGACACACAGAGAGAGAGGATGTCTGTCTGCTTGTATGTCTGTCTATAGTTTTCTAGTTACATTTTTGTTGCTATTTCTTTTATGCATGATGATGGTTGCTTGTGTTGCAATCGAAACGTCGTAGTATGCTATTATTTAATTTATTATTTTATTTTTCGATTTAAAGCTTCTTTCGTGACTGCAGGGATTCATCTTCTTGGTTCTTTCGGTAAAGTCACGTAGAAGGGAAGTGATATTATATTATTACATTATTATTTTATTATGTTTTATTATTATTTTATTATTATTTTATCTCTAGACGTGACTTTACCGAAAGAACCAAAGAATAATTCTTGCAGTCACGAAAGCTCCAAAATTAAGATTGAACCCCTATGTGTTTATTGACACGAGACAAAAATTACGAATTTCAAACCACAGGGGCGCAAGGCTGCGGTGACGGCAAAGAACCGCTGCATTCAAGCGAAGCCAACTTGGATTCACGAGTGGACGCCAAGTGAGAAATGGCTCACCTCATCCAGTCCGTAATCCACGGAGGGAGTTCTTTCATGATGGCGAGCGGCGCTTTGCTCCATCGAGGTGTGGGAAAACGGGTGACACTCCAGCCGCTGCCACCTGCAACTCCCTAAGAAAAGATACAAATGGCATCATCCCTCTGTATTGTAATGCGTTGTTGGGGACGCGTCTTTCAATGCCGTATCTGTTTGTGTATATCTGCGTGCGTGTGAGCGCCGGGTGGCTAAAGCACAGCAAGTTGGCACAGTAGGGGGCACAGGTGGTGCATCAGCCAGTCGTCTCGGTCATCTCAATCATCTCAGTCATCTCAGAGCGCCGGGTGGCTAAAGCACAGCAAGTTGGCACAGTAGGGGGCACAGGTGGTGCATCAGCCAGTCATCTCAGTCATCTCAGTCATCTCAGTCATCTCAGAGCGCCGGGTGGCTAAAGCACAGCAAGTTGGCACAGTAGGGGGCACAGGTGGTGCATCAGCCAGTCATCTCAGTCATCTCAGTCATCTCAGAGCGTCGGGTGGCTAAAGCACAGCGAGTTGGCACGGTAGGGGGCACAGGTGGTGCATCAGCCAGTCATCTCGGTCATCTCGGTCATCTCAGTCATCTCAGTCATCTCAGAGCGCCGGGTGGCTAAAGCACAGCAAGTTGGCACAGTAGGGGGCACAGCTGGTGCATCAGCCAGTCATCTCGGTCATCTCGGTCATCTCAGTCATCTCAGTCATCTCAGAGCGTCGGGTGGCTAAAGCACAGCGAGTTGGCACAGTAGGGGGCACAGGTGGTGCATCAGCCAGTCATCTCAGTCATCTCAGTCATCTCAGAGCGCCGGGTGGCTAAAGCACAACAACTTGGCACAGTAGGGGGCACAGGTGGTGCATCAGCCAGTCGTCTCGGTCATCTCGGTCATCTCGGTCATCTCAGTCATCTCAGTCATCTCAGAGCGCCGGGTGGCTAAAGCACAGAAAGTTTGCACAGTAGGGGGCACAGGTGGTGCATCAGCCAGTCGTCGTGGCACCGATGACTGGTACCAGCGGTGTCAAGACCGGCCTCTGTGGAGGAGGCTCGTGAAGGACGCTACTGGGCAGTTGGAGGCAGTCGCCCTCCAACAACAACGGAGGGCGGAGGAGCGACGCTCACAACAACGAGCGGAGCGCCGGGTGGCTAAAGCACAGCAAGTTGGCACAGTAGGGGGCACAGGTGGTGCATCAGCCAGTCGTCTCGGTCATCTCGGTCAGTCGACCCGTGGCACCTGCTGGGTCTGCCCCGTGACCTCCTGCCAGCGGGCGTTCGACACTTCACGTGGCAGCCTCAAGGTGCACATGGCCTGGCACAAGCGTCGTGGTGACGTCACCGCCACTTAGTGGCGAATGGCGGTTGTTGTTGTTGTGTGTGTGTGATGTCTGTGTGTCTGTGTGTGTGTGTCTGTGTGTGTGGGGAGCAGTAGCACAGCGATCAGCGCTGGACTGTGCTTATCAACTCAGCGACCCAAGCTCAATTCCCGTTCACGACCAACAACGCCGGCGTGTTTATATTTGAATCGGTCCTGGGCTTCCCCTCGGTCGACTCAGCCTTAAACGGACACCTGGTGCGGTGTGCGAACGTCAGCATTTGGGGGAGACAAAGGCGGCCTGGTGCAGTTGTTACCCAAACACCGTGACGCCCCGACTGGTCTTCGCCAACAGCACTTGCCCCAACAGCCCGTGTAGGCTACACGGGGGACATTTGTGTAACTTAACCGACACCAGGCATCTGATAACCTTGAGAACACACAAAATGGGGGTGTTTTTTTTGAGGGGGGGGGGGGGGATTGTTAAGTTGCCCAAAATATATTTTGTAAAGTCACGTAGAAGGGAAATAATAAAAATAAAACAATAAAATACAATTCTCGCGACGTTTCGGCCACAACGCAAGCAGCCGTCCTCAGGCGAAGAACAGGTCTGTCGGAAAGACAGCGTCTGAATGAACAGGTCTGTCGGAAAGACAGCGTCTGAATGAACAGGCCTGTCGGAAAGACAGCGTCTGAATGAACAGGTGTGTCGGAAAGACAGCGTCTGAATGAACAGGTCTGTCGGAAAGACAGCGTCTGAATGAACAGGTCTGTCGGAAAGACAGCGTCTAAATGAACAGGTCTGTCGGAAAGACAGCGTCTGAATGAACAGGTCTGTCGGAAAGACAGCGTCTGAATGAACAGGTCTGTCGGAAAGACAGCGTCTGAATGAACAGGTCTGTCGGAAAGACAGCGTCTGAATGAACAGGCCTGTCGGAAAGACAGCGTCTGAATGAACAGGCCTGTCGGAAAGACAGCGTCTGAATGAACAGGCCTGTCGGAAAGACAGCGTCTGAATGAACAGGTCTGTCGGAAAGACAGCGTCTGAATGAACAGGTCTGTCGGAAAGACAGCGTCTGAATGAACAGGTCTGTCGGAAAGACAGCGTCTGAATGAACAGGTCTGTCGGAAAGACAGCGTCTGAATGAACAGGTCTGTCGGAAAAACAGCGTCTGAATGAACAGGTCTGTCGGAAAGACAGCGTCTGAATGAACAGGTCTGTCGGAAAGACAGCGTCTGAATGAATAGGTCTGTCGGAAAGACAGCGTCTGAATGAACAGGTCTGTCAGAAAGACAGCGTCTGAATGAACAGGCCTGTCGGAAAGACAGCGTCTGAATGAACAGGTCTGTCGGAAAGACAGCGTCTGAATGAACAGGTCTGTCGGAAAGACAGCGTCTGAATGAACAGGTCTGTCAGAAAGACAACGTCTGAATGAACAGGTCTGTCGGAAAGACAGCGTCTGAATGAACAGGTCTGTCGGAAAGACAGCGTCTGAATGAACAGGTCTGTCGGAAAGACAGTCGGTAAGACAGACCTGTTCATTCAGACGCTGTCTTTCCGACAGACCTGTTCATTCAGACGCTGTCTTTCCGACAGACCTGTTCTTCAGACGCTGTCTTCCCAACAGACCTGTTCTTCACCTGAGGACGGCTGCTTGCGTTGTGGCCGAAACGTCGTGAGAATTGTATCTTATTATGTTTTATTTTTATTATTTTATTATTTCCCTTCTACGTGATGACTTTACCGAAAGAACCAAGAAGATGAATCCCTGCACTCACGAAAGCTTTAAATCGAAATATATTTTGTAGGTATGTGTGTGTTTTTGTTAAACAGCTGATGATTACCTCGTCGAATGGTTTTATGGGTTGAAGAGGTCTCTGAGGCTTCGTGAGCGGCGCCTGCTGCTGCGTGGAATCCAGATGCTCTTCTGGCGAAGGAGAGAAAAACACAACGCAACTCGGCAAACAATACGCGCGCGCGTTCGTTCCATTGCAAGTGACACCGAAATAGCGGATTTAACTACCTCGCCTGGTATACAGGAGGTCGTGGGTTCGCTCCCGACCCTGACGCCTGCTGCTGTATATTTGGAGTTTGCGTGTCTCTCTCTCTCATCATCATCACGGTGGCTAGGAGATGTTAACTACCTCGCCTGGTACGCAGGAGGTCGTGGGTTCGATCCCGACCCTGACGCCTGCTGCTGTATATTTGGAGTTTACGTGTCTCTCTCTCACGGCCTACCCGATACCCGTACCCTACCCGTACCCGTACCCTACCCGAAATGAGTGACAAACGGTGACTCACCAGTGACTCACGGCCTACCCGTACCCGGCCGCACCAGGGTCGCAAACGGGTACCCGTACCCCCGTACCCAGCCGGGTATCCGGGTATCGGGTAGGGTATCGGGTAGGGTATCGGGTAGGGTACGGGTATCGGGTAGGGTACGGGTATCGGGTAGGGTACGGGTAGGGTACAGGTATCGGGTAGGGTACGGGTATCGGGTAGGGTACGGGTATCGGGTAAGGTGCGGGTATCGGGTAGGGTACGGGTATCGGGTAGAGTACGGGTATCGGGTAGAGTACGGGTATCGGGTAGGGTACGGGTATCGGGTAGGGTACAGGTATCGGGTAGGGTACGGGTATCGGGTAGGGTACGGGTATTGGGTAGGGTACGGGTATCGGGTAGAGTACGGGTATCGGGTAGCCGGGTATCGGGTAGGGTACGGGTATCGGGTAGGGTACGGGTATCGGGTAGGGTACGGGTATCGGGTAGGGTACGGGTATCGGGTAGGGTACGGGTATCGGGTAGGGTACGGGTATCGGGTAGGGTACGGGTATCGGGTACCCGGTTGCGACCTCTGCGCTCAGGTCACCAATAACCCAAACAAAACTCACCGGGCTCTTGCAAGTCGAGCGGAGGTTGAGTTTCCCCCGCGGTGTCCCCTTGCCTCGTGGACTCCTCGTGCCTCGCGGACTCCTCCTGATCTTGCGGAAGAGCCGCTTGTAGAACCTGCTCGCTTCCGCTGCAGAGCGCGCGCGTGGTGTGTGTGGTTGCGAGTGTGGGTCACAATCGTTCGCCAATAAGGTCAACGGTGCGTCATGAACGCTGTTCTGTGGATATACTGTCAGTCACCAAGTGGATCCCCTGTGGGGCATTGTGGCTGGTTATGTTCCTGCTGCTGCTGCTGCTACATTCCTACTTCCCATAGACTCACCACACAGAGACGAGACCCACAGACTCACCACACAGAGACCCACAGACTCACCACATAGAGACCCATAGACTCACCACACAGAGACCCATAGACTCACCACACAGAGACCCACAGACTCACCACACAGAGACCCACAGACTCACCACACAAACCCACAGACTCACCACACAAACCCACAGACTCACCACACAGAGACCCACAGACTCACCATACAGAGACCCATAGACTCATCACACAGAGACCCACAGACTCACCACACAGAGACCCACAGACTCACCACACAGAGACCCACAGACTCATCACACAGAGACCCACAGACTCACCACACAGAGACCCACAGACTCACCACACAGAGACCCATAGACTCACCACACAGAGACCCATATACTCATCACACAGAGACCCACAGACTCACCACACAAACCCACAGACTCACCACACAGAGACCCACAGACTCACCACACAGAGACCCACAGACTCACCACACAGAGACCCACAGACTCACCACACAGAGACCCATAGACTCACCACACAGAGACCCATAGACTCACCACACAGAGACCCACAGACTCATCACACAGAGACCCACAGACTCACCACACAGAGACCCACAGACTCATCACACAGAGACCCATAGACTCACCACACAGAGACCCACAGACTCATCACACAGAGACCCACAGACTCACCACACAGAGACCCATAGACTCACCACACAGAGACCCACAGACTCACCACACAGAGACCCACAGACTCACCACACAAACCCACAGACTCACCACACAGAGACCCACAGACTCACCACACAGAGACCCACAGACTCACCACACAGAGACCCACAGACTCACCACACAGAGACCCATAGACTCACCACACAGAGACCCACAGACTCACCAACAGAGACCCATAGACTCACCACACAGAGACCCACAGACTCACCACACAGAGACCCACAGACTCACCACACAGAGACCCACAGACTCACCACACAGAGACCCACAGACTCACCACACAGAGACCCATAGACTCACCACACAGAGACCCACATAGACTCACCACAAACCACAGACTACACAACCCACAGACTCACCACACAGAGACCCACAGACTCACCACACAGAGACCCACAGACTCACCACACAGAGACCCACAGACTCACCACACAGAGACCCACAGACTCACCACACAGAGACCCACAGACTCACCAACAGAGACCCAACAGACTCACCACACAGAGACCCACAGGACTCATCACACAGAGACCCACAGACTCACCACACAAACCCACAGACTCACCACACAGAGACCCACATACTCACCACACAGAGACCCACAGACTCATCCACACAGAGACCACAGACTCACCACACAGAGACCAACAGAGACCCACAGACTCACCACACAGAGACCCACAGACTCACCACACAGAGACCCACAGACTCACCACACAGAGACCCACATACTCACCACACATAGACCCACAGACTCACCACACAGAGACCCACAGACTCACCACACAGAGACCCACAGACTCACCACACAGAGACCCACAGACTCATCACACAGAGACCCACAGACTCACCACACAGAGACCCACAGACTCACCCACACAAACCCACAGACTCACCACACAGAGACCCACAGACTCATCACACAGAGACCCACAGACTCACCACACAAACCCACAGACTCACCACACAGAGACCCACATACTCACCACACAGAGACCCACAGACTCACCACACAGAGACCCATAGACTCACCACACAGAGACCCACAGACTCACCACACAGAGACCCACAGACTCACCACATAGAGACCCATAGACTCATCACACAGAGACCCATAGACTCACCACACAGAGACCCACAGACTCACCACACAGAGACCCACAGACTCATCACACAGAGACCCACAGACTCACCACACAGAGACCCACAGACTCACCACACAGAGACCCACAAACTCACCACACAGACACCCCAATTGCATCTTGATCGTGCTATCGATCGCACCGGACGAGGGGTGTCTGTCCGGATAGATCGCCGAGCAGAGCAACGCTTCGTGTTCGACGGCGATCGACGGAAAGCAGATGTCGCGGAGCTACCTCTGAGATCCTTTCAATTGACCTCTGACCCGCACGGCAAGGGGGCAGCAACTCTCCCACCCGCAGGGGCCCCGGGGTCAATGTGACGGTCGAACCGACGTTTGGCCAAACTTAAGCGCAAAACACAAATATTCATGTGACGGTATTCTTAGGGTTTTTAAATCCTTTATATTAAGTTCGCTTGCTTGCGTGCTTGCTTGCTTGCTTACGACCATGCAAATCTTTCGGTCGTTTTTTAACCCACTTCCCGTGATCCAATCGAGCTGACATTTTGCACACAGACTCGTTGTGCGTGACAATTAATGTTCGTGAAATTTTTTTCCAAAATTTTGCACTGTTTAGGGAAAACAAATTAAATATTTAATTACCAATTGCTTAATACTGGCAGACAATCATCTGACCCATAGGTGGCAGCCATCTCAAGCCAGAGGACGAGAGGACTCTAGCCGCCACGCATATAAAGGATTTATAGTGAAAAACTTTGTTTTTACGGGTTTACTTATTTTTTCGGTAAAGTCACGTAGGTAAAAAATTAAATTACTCAAAGTAGTGATGGAAATAAAATAATTATGGATTTGAAGCTTTCGTGACTGCAAGGATTCATATTCTTAGGTTTTTTCGGTAAAGTCACCGTGTAGGTAAAATATTAATAAAAGTGGTGGCTCTTGTGATCTCTCATTTGCTTGATACGGCTGTCGTGGCTGTGACGGTTCCAACTGTTGCCTCCGAAACGTCGTGAGTTTTATTTTATTTTATTTTGCTTTTATAATTTTTTTACCTACGTGACTTTACCGAAAAAACCTAAGAATATGGAAACAAAATAATAAATCACGACGTTTCGGAGGCAACACAAGCTTCCGTCTTCAGGTGGAACCGTCACAGCCACGACAGCCGCATCAAGTAAATGAGAGATTGCAAGAGCTACCACTCCGTGTATATAATGGTTATATAAACGGATATATAAACGGAGTGGTAGCTCTTGTAATCTCTCATTTACTTGATACGGCTGTCGTGGCTGTGACGGTTCCACCTGAAGACGGAAGCTTGTGTTGCCTCCGAAACGTCGTGATTTTATTTTATTTCATTTTGCTTTTATAATTTTTTTACCTACACGGTGACTTTACCGAAAAAACCTAAGAATATGGAAACAAAATAATAAACCACGACGTTTCGGAGGCAACACAAGTTTCCGTCTTCAGGTGGAACCGTCACAGCCACGACAGCCGCATCAAGTAAATGAGAGATTGCAAGAGCTACCACTCCGTGTATATAATGGTTATATAAACGGATATATAATGGATATATAAACGGAGTGGTAGCTCTTGTGATCTCTCATTTGCTGATACGGCTGTCGTGGCTGTGACGGTTCCACCTGAAGACGGAAGCTTGTGTTGCCTCCGAAACGTCGTGAGTTTTATTTTATTTTACTTTTATGAATTTTTTACCTACACGGTGACTTTACCGAAAAATCCTAAGAATATGGAAACAAAATAATAAACCACGACGTTTCGGAGGCAACACAAGTCTCCGTCATCAGGTGGGACCGTCACAGCTAAAATTACTGCATCATTTTATTATTTTTTTACCGACGTGACTTCACCGAAAAAACCTAAGGGTATGTCTTGTGACCCCACCACCCCCCCTAATTTATCGACCCCCGAGGCTGCTTTCCTGGGTAAATCGACGTCATTATATTTTTGTCATCGTCACGCGTTGTTGTGTTTCACGGCGGCGTTCATACCTCGCTGACCCGTTCCCCTCGCGGCGTCCCGGGGCCGTCTCCGCGCCGCCGCGAGCTGCTCTGTCTCCCCGGCTCCTGGTCGCGTCGTCATCTGGCATCTCGACGTCCGTGGCGGCGGCCGCGCTCGCCTCTCCGTCGCTGCGTTCCTCGTCAGTCTCGTGAACAGAACGTGCCGATTCGATACGAGGACAGCACACCGGCGATGCCGGAGAGTCAATCCACAACGGTTACAACTTGAGCGCGTCGCTTAGCCAGTCATTGCAACCGGCATCATCAGGGGACAGTCAGGGTCTCGAGCGAACCCACGATCTCCTGTATACCAGGCGAGGTAGTTAACATCTCCTAGCCAACGTGATGATGATGATGAGAGAGACACGCAAACTCCAAATATACAACAGCAGATGTCAGGGTCGGGATCGAACCCACGACCTCCTGTATACCAGGCGAGGTAGTTAACATCTCCTAGCCACCGTGATGATGATGAGAGAGAGAGAGACACGCAGACTCCAAATATACAGCAGCAGGCGTCAGGATCGGGATCGAACCCACGACCTCCTGTATACCAGGCGAGGTAGTCAACATCTCCTAGCCACCGTGATGATGATGAGAGAGAGACACGCAAACTGCAAATATACAGCAGCAGACGTCAGGGTCGGGATCGAACCCACGACCTCCTGTACACCAGGCGAGGTAGTTAACATCTCCTAGCCACCGTGATGATGATGAGAGAGAGAGACACACAAGCTCCAAATATACAGCAGCAGGCGTCAGGGTCGGGATCAAACCCACGACCTCCTGTACACCAGGCGAGGTGGTTAACATCTCCTAGCCACCGTGATGATGATGATGAGAGAGACACGCAAACTCCAAATGTAAAGTAGGCGTCAGGATCGGGATCGAACCCACGACCTCCTGTATACCAGGCGAGGTAGTCAACATCTCCGAGCCACCGTGATGATGATGAGAGAGAGAGACACGCAAACTCCAAATATACAGCAGCAGGCGTCAGGGTCGGGATCGAACCCACGACCTCCTGTATACCAGGCGAGGTAGTTAACATCTCCTAGCCACCGTGATGATGATGAGAGAGAGAGACACACAAGCTCCAAATATACAGCAGCAGGCGTCAGGGTCGGGATCAAACCCACGACCTCCTGTACACCAGGCGAGGTGGTTAACATCTCCTAGCCACCGTGATGATGATGATGAGAGAGACACGCAAACTCCAAATGTAAAGTAGGCGTCAGGATCGGGATCGAACCCACGACCTCCTGTATACCAGGCGAGGTAGTCAACATCTCCTAGCCACCGTGATGATGATGAGAGAGAGAGACACGCAAACTCCAAATAGACAGCAGCAGGCGTCAGGGTCGGGATCGAACCCACGACCTCCTGTATACCAGGCGAGGTAGTTAACATCTCCTAGCCACCGTGATGATGAGAGTGAGAGACACGCAGACTCCAAATATACAGCAGCAGGCGTCAGGGTCGGGATCGAACCCACGACCTCCTGTATACCAGGCGAGGTAGTCAACATCTCCTAGCCACCGTGATGATGATGAGAGAGAGAGACACGCAAACTCCAAATAGACAGCAGCAGGCGTCAGGGTCGGGATCGAACCCACGACCTCCTGTATACCAGGCGAGGTAGTTAACATCTCCTAGCCACCGTGATGATGAGAGTGAGAGACACGCAGACTCCAAATATACAGCAGCAGGCGTCAGGGTCGGGATCGAACCCACGACCTCCTGTATACCAGGCGAGGTAGTTAACATCACCAGGCCACCGCAGCGCCTATATAAACCTTCGATAATCACTTCTAAATGAAGCGTGCGATTTCATACGCGTATATCAAAGATGTATTATGGACGACTCAATATGTTAGACAATAATGTTTTGTCTTTCTTTGGAATTTTCACACTTAAATTCTAACTTAGCAATCTTTGAAATACGTAATCGACCAGGCTGTGCGTTAATTGTGTGTTGACCGACTCTCTGTGTCGTTTGACATAACATTTCGATACTTTTCTAGGTTATTTAATTTAGTGTGTTCTGTCTCCCTCTAAGCCTGCTTACCTTACTCCCCTCCCTTCGTACTCATTGACATGTAAATGTTTTCCTCTACCCCCTCCCTCTCTCTGCCTCCGCCCCCTCTGTCTATTTAAGGCCTCGCCACAGAGACGATCACCTCTCTCTGTGCCTGTGTTACTCTCTCTCTGTGTATCTTGGTGATGTCTGTCTGCTTGTATGTCTGTCTATAGTTTTCTATTTAAGGCCACCCCACAGAGACGATCACCCCTCTCTGTGCCTGTGTCGCTCTCTCTCTGTGTATCTTGGTGATGTCTGTCTGCTTGTATGTCTGTCTATAGTTTTCTATTTAAGGCCACCCCACAGAGACGATCACCTCTCTCTGTGCCTGTGTTACTCTCTCTCTGTGTATCTTGGTGATGTCTGTCTGCTTGTATGTCTGTCTATAGTTTTCTATTTAAGGCCACCCCACAGAGACGATCACCTCTCTCTGTGCCTGTGTTGCTCTCTCTCTGTGTATCTTGGTGATATCTGTCTGCTTATATGTCTGTCTATAGTTTTCTATTTAAGGCCACCCCACAGAGACGATCACCTCTCTCTGTGCCTGTGTTGCTCTCTCTCTGTGTATCTTGGTGATATCTGTCTGCTTGTATGTCTGTCTATAGTTTTCTATTTAAGGCCACCCCACAGAGACGATCACCCCTCTCTGTGCCTGTGTCGCTCTCTCTCTGTGTATCTTGGTGATGTCTGTCTGCTTGTATGTCTGTCTATAGTTTTCTATTTAAGGCCACCCCACAGAGACGATCACCTCTCTCTGTGCCTGTGTTACTCTCTCTCTGTGTATCTTGGTGATGTCTGTCTGCTTGTATGTCTGTCTATAGTTTTCTATTTAAGGCCACCCCACAGAGACGATCACCTCTCTCTGTTCCTGTGTTGCTCTCTCTCTATGTATCTTGGTGATATCTGTCTGCTAATATGTCTGTCTATAGTTTTCTATTTAAGGCCACCCCACAGAGACGATCACCTCTCTCTGTGCCTGTGTTACTCTCTCTCTGTGTATCTTGGTGATGTCTGTCTGCTTATATGTCTGTCTATAGTTTTCTATTTAAGGCCTCGCCACAGAGACGATCACCTCTCTCTGTGCCTGTGTTACTCTCTCTCTCTGTGTATCTTGGTGATATCTGTCTGCTTGTATGTCTGTCTATAGTTTTCTATTTAAGGCCACCCCACAGAGACGATCACCCCTCTCTGTACCTGTGTTACTCTCTCTCTCTGTGTATCTTGGTGATATCTGTCTGCTTGTATGTCTGTCTATAGTTTTCTATTTAAGGCCACCCCACAGAGACGATCACCCCTCTCTGTACCTGTGTTACTCTCTCTCTGTGTATCTTGGTGATGTCTGTCTGCTTATATGTCTGTCTATAGTTTTCTAGTTAGATTTTGTGTCGCTATTTCATTTATACCTGATGATGATTGTGTTGCAATCGAAACGTCGTAGTATGCTATTATTCAATTTATTCTTTTATCTTTAGACGTGACTTTACCGAAAGAACCAAAGAATATTTCCTGCAGTCACGAAAGCTCCAAAATTAAGATACGATAGGTAACGTTTGATCACAGCGCATGAAACATTAAGTCGGGTGTTGCATCACCACCCGTCGGCACCAAATGCCAAGAGTGTTACCTGATGCCCCTTGGCTTCCTTTTCCAGCAGCTCCTTCGACGCCTCCCTCGCTGCAATCAACGCTTCACTCCTGGCCGTGTCTTGCTTGATCAGCACCCTGAGTTGTGCATTTGAGGATTTTCTTTCGACGCTAATCACCGGCTATCAGAGGTCGCAAACGGGTTACGATTCCTTACCCGTACCCAGGCCGCACCAGGGTCGCAAACGGGTAGCCGTACCCGGCCGTACCCTTACCCTACCCGTACCCGTACCCTACCCGTACCCGTACCCTACCCGTACCCGTACCCTACCCGTACCCGTACCCTACCCGTACCCGTACCCTACCCGTACCCGTACCCTACCCGTACCCGCACCCTACCCGTACCCGCACCCTACCCGTACCCGTACCCTACCCGTACCCGTACCCTACCCGTACCCGTACCCTACCCGTACCCAGGCCGCACCAGGGTCGCAAACGGGTACCCGTACCCAGCCGTACCCGTACCCTACCCGTACCCAGCCGGGTACGGGTAGGGTACGGGTATCAGGTACCCGATTGCGACCTCTGGGATGAAGCCACGTTGCAGGCGCGGGTGGGTTGATTCTAGGAACTTGAATTGTGAGAAGAGACAAGACGTTGGGAAATGAGTGACAAACGGTGACTCACCAGTGACTCACGGTCTACCCGTACCCGGCCGCACCAGGGTCACAAACGACTACCCGTACCCAGCCGAGTACGGGTAGTCGGGTATCGGGTATCGGGTACCCGGTTGCGACCTCTGACGTACGTTTGTTACAAACACAACTCCCATCTCTGTGAACGAAGACTCTGGCACTTTTCCGATTGCGACCTCTGGGATGAAGCCACGTTGCAGGCGCGGGTGGGTTGATTCTAGGAACTTGAATCGTGAGAAGAGACAAGACGTTGGGAAATGAGTGACAAACGGTGACTCACCGGTGACTCACGGCCTACCCGTACCCGTACCCGGCCGCACCAGGGTCGCAAACGGGTAGCCGTACCCGTACCCGGCCGGGTACGAGTAGCCGGGTATCGGGTAGGGTACGGGTATCGGGTACCCGGTTGCGACCTCTGCCGGCTATTAATAATCGGGGTTTTCCCCACTTTTTTTCCGGCGACAAAACTGAAACCTTTTGCAAAGGAATCACGTTTGCATTAACCACAACACTTGCAGTCGAAATGCAAACAAAAGAACAACACTCTGATCATTTATGCATTGTCCTTGAAACTGATTGCTCCACACCAGAGACAGCTTTCCCTAGAGCCTTAGGAGACCTGAGGCAACACCTCACGAGACCTGAGGCGGCACTTCAAATGTTACTCCGACTTCCTACGTACAAACCCAGAACGCTTGAAAGGATACATTTCGGCCACCCGTTCATTGAACGTCGCGAACCGAAAACCTGAAAGAGGAGTTGATGTTAGGGCCTGTTTGTGATTACGAAAACGTGCATCACATCGTTGATTGAAGCTAAATGTGTAAAATGTGCATGTTTTATGCGCACTGCATTTTTGCATGTTGCCAAGTCTGTCAGCAGTTCCCGAAGAACTGCATTGTGGTCGCTTTGTCTTAGACGATGTAAAGAAACATGTGTGCGTCTGACAGCAGCCGCAGTGATGCAGCAAAGGAGCAGCTTCGTTCTCATTGTAACTCATCAGCACATGAATGCTTACAGCTGCAACACAATCTACAATGTGTTAACAACAATAATAACCCAGCAGAACAGCATCATAGCGCATTCCAAAACAAACCCCCCAACACTATGGGGACCTCATTTGCCAGTAAAAATATGATAATTGGTTCTTTACCCTTCTATCTGGCAACAAAACTGACACCTTTTTACAAGGAGTGCGCCTTTTGGCGTCTTCTGGTCCAACCCATGTGAGACTAGGCTCTAAGGAAAGCTGTCTCGGGTGTGGACCAATCAACTTCAAGGACCATGTGAGACTAGGCTCTAAGGAAAGCTGTCTCGGGTGTGGACCAATCAACTTCAAGGACCATGTGAGACTAGGCTCTAAGGAAAGCTGTCTCGGGTGTGGACCAATCAACTTCAAGGACCATGTGAGACTAGGCTCTAAGGAAAGCTGTCTCGGGTGTGGACCAATCAACTTCAAGGACAGTGCACATACATTATCAGAGTTATGTTTTTTTGTTTGCATTATGACTGCAGGTATTGTGGTCTATGCAAACATGACTCCTTGTAAAAAGGTGTCAGTTTTGTTGCCAGATAGAAGGGTAAAAAAACAATTATCAAACCCCCAACACTTCGATGTAAAGCTTCTTTCGTGACTGCAGGGATTCATCTTCTTGGTTCTTTCGGTAAAGTCATCACGTAGAAGGGAAGTAATAAAATAATGAAAATAAAACATAATAAGATACAATTCTCACGACGTTTCGGCCACAACGCAAGCAGCCGTCCTCAGGTGAAGAACAGGTGTGTCGGAAAGACAGCGTCTGAATGAAACAGCACCAGGCTTGGCAGCGTATATTTAAGCTGCTGGGTTGGAGGGGGAAGGGCGCCTTGACAAAGGAGTTTGCATATCAAGAGGAATTTCGCATATTTATGCGAAATGCAGATATGGGATTAGTACTACTTGTGAAATGCGTTGTGGCCGAAACGTCGTGACAATTATTTTATTATGTTTAATTTTTATTGTTTTATTATTTCCATTCTACGTGACTTTGTATTTTATTATGTTTTATTTTTATTATTTTATTATTTCCCTTCTACGTGACTTTGTATTTTATTATGTTTTATTTTTATTATTTTATTACTTCCCATTCTACGTGACGACTTTACCAAAAGAACCGAGAAGATAAACCCCCCGACACGTTTCGAACGACGCGCAAAGGCCGCGTTGTTTTTTGTCGACGCGTTGCTAATGCCGCTTCACCCGTTTCGCGATTCAACTTTCTCCTCTGCTCCTTGCGATCCTGATTCTCTTTTCGACTTAAATGCTAAATATGCTAAATTCCTCTTGATATGCACATTCTTTTTGTTAAGGCGCTCTTCTTCCACCTCCAACCCAGCTTATATATAAGCTCCAAGCTTGGCAGTGTCTCATTCTTCACCTGAAGACGGCTGCTTGCGTTGTAGCCGAAACGTCGTGAGAATTATTTTATTATGTTTTATTTTTATTATTTTATTACTTCCCTTCTACGTGACGACTTTACCAAAAGAACCGAGAAGATAAACCCCCCGACATGTTTCGAACAACGCGCAAGGGCCGCGTTTTTTTTTTTTTTACACCAGTGGCGGCTCCTGCAAAATCTCTCAGGGGGGGCAAATGTGTGGATGATTGATAAGGATAAGCTCCACCCATGCAATGGATACATTAACAGCTTAAGCATGTAAAGGCAACTTCACTTCTTTAATATTAAAGAAAAATAAAGTGACTCTTACAATACATCTTGTTTGTTTCTATACTCACTATTAATACAATCCACTCAAGTTTATTTTATTAAAGATTCCACTAGGTGGTGACAAATAATATCGTTGACTGAAACGTGCTGACGTATGATGACGTGAGCACGTTAGTGCGAGCCCTCCCGGAAGCCATAGAGAATGCATTGCAGCACCCGCCGTTCGAAAAAAAACATCTTTGAATGTAAGTCTACGGGAACACTCGGGGCGATTCTCAGCCGGAGTGAAATCGCCCAAAAAGAGGCGGTACTCCACAGAACGTGACATGACGCTGATTGGACTATATCCAGAGGCACAGTGACGGCTAGCGTGACTCTGTGGTTGAATGAGATTGGTGGTGCGTCGCCCAATCGCCCTAATGAAGAAACTGCCCCTGTGGTGTCGACGCGTTGCTAATGCCGCTTCACCCGTTTCGCGATTCATCTTTCTCCGCTGCTCCTTGCGATCCTGCTTCTCCGTGGCGATGGCGCCTCTCAAGGCGGCCAGCTCTCCCTCCTTCTTTGCGAGGAGCACCTGGGAGTGAACGCTGGGCTCCTCCTCGTAGTCCGTCAACATGGCCTCGTAATGTTTTACGATGTCGGCTAAGCGCACCCTGTGCGCACGTCACGAACCCAAGAGGGCAAGAGGTTACATGTTTTGCTGGTAGGAACGAAGTGGACCAGACACCAATAGATTATATCGTCCGTCCGTTTGTCCGTTTGTCCGTCCGTCCGTGTAGCAACATCGCCCCCTACTGCAAACACTTGACATGACCCTACAAAAACCTTTAGACTGTGACGCTTTCCTGGCTAAACTAGTGTAACATTCCCTTATAATTCCCTGAGATAGCTTTTAATTACAAAAACCTTTATACTCAGTGACGCTTTCCTGGCTAAACAAGTGTAACATTCCCTTATAATTCCCTGAGATAGCTTTTAATTACAAAAACCTTTAGACTGTGACGCTTTCCTGGCTAAACTAGTGTAACATTCCCTTATAATTCCCTGAGATAGCTTTTAATTAAAACATTTAAATTTAAAATTAACTCACGGCGGCCTAAAGCCTACAGCTAGGCCTAAAGCCTAGAACTAGGCTAGAAACTCTCCCTTCGTATCGTCCGATTCGGTGTAGCAACATCGCCCCCTACTGCAAACACTTGGCAGGACCCTACAAAAACCTTTAGACTCAGTGAGGCTTTCCTGGCTAAACAAGTGTAATAATACATTATGTTTATATTCTTTGGTTATTCGTTCCTACCAGCCCACCCGCAGAGTCCTGTTATAAGACGTGTGATGTCAGTGCTCCACAATGGAGGTTTTTTGGGGGGGGGTGAGATCGCGTGAATGTATAAATGTGTCGTTAAAACCCGCCACCACCCGACACAGCCAACTCGTGAGGGTTGTCACGTAAACAACGTGGCCAATTCGTCACTGGTACAGCACTAGTGTGTAGTGTATAGTGTAGTGTATGTGTAGTGTATAGTGTAGTGTATAGTGTAGTGTATAGTGTAGTGTATGTGTAGTGAATAGTAGTGTAGTGTATAGTGTAGTGTGTAGTGTATAGTATAGTGTGTAGTGTAGTGTATAGTGTAGTGTATGTGTAGTGAATAGTAGTGTAGTGTATAGTAGTGTAGTGTATAGTAGTGTAGTGGAATGTGTAGTGAATAGTAGTGTAGTCTATAGTAGTGTAGTGGATAGTGTATTGTATAGTAGTGTATTGTATTGTATAGTAGTGTAGTGTATAGTAGTGTAGTGTATAGTGTAGTGTATAGTGTAGTGTATAGTGTAGTTATAGTAGTGTAGTGTATAGTGTAGTGTATAGTGTAGTGTATAGTAGTGTAGTGTATAGTGTAGTGTATAGTGTAGTGTATAGTAGTGTAGTGTATAGTGTAGTGTATAGTGTAGTGTATAGTAGTGTAGTGTATAGTGTAGTGTATAGTGTAGTGTATAGTAGTGTAGTGTATAGTGTATAGTAGTGTATAGTGTATAGTAGTGTAGTGTATAGTGTAGTGTATAGTGTAGTGTATAGTGTAGTGTATAGTGTAGTGTATAGTGTGTAGTAGTGTATAGTGTAGTGTATAGTGTGTAGTAGTGTATAGTGTGTAGTAGTGTATAGTGTAGTGTATAGTGTGTAGTAGTGTATAGTGTAGTGTGTAGTGTAGTGTATAGTGTAGTGTATAGTGTAGTGTATAGTGTGTAGTAGTGTATAGTGTAGTGTATAGTGTAGTGTATAGTGTAGTGTATAGTGTGTAGTGTAGTGTATAGTGTAGTGTATAGTGTAGTGTATAGTGTGTAGTAGTGTATAGTGTAGTGTATAGTGTAGTGTATAGTGTGTAGTAGTGTGTAGTGTAGTGTATAGTGTAGTGTATAGTGTAGTGTAGTGTATAGTGTAGTGTATAGTGTGTAGTAGTGTATAGTGTAGTGTATAGTGTAGTGTATAGTGTGTAGTAGTGTATAGTGTAGTGTATAGTGTAGTGTATAGTGTAGTGTAGTGTATACAACAAGTTCATGTATTAGGTATAGAGCCCTGTGAGCCATTGGGCTCTTGAATCGGGTGCAACCGCAACAAACAAAAAACATGAACTAAAAACATCTTAAAGTGACTATATGTGACTAAGTGCAAACAGAAAATCCAAGAAAAGACAGCAAAATATTGCAGAAAAAGACTCACGATTCGTCTGCAAGGTGTTGCTTGGCGGCTTTCAGTTGCGCGCGTTTGTCCAACGTGTGTTTAATGAGAATATTCTGCGCCGCATTCAATCTGTGAGAATAACAACGGGCTCGAAAAAGCTAGGCGGGTCGTGCGCTCGAGTGACATCGCACGCGAATCGTAGCGGCGACGATTTTGTAGGCTTCCACAACCGATATCGTGATTCGTTTGTTCTGCATCGACTCGCGTAGAGGAGTCATGTCAATGTGATATTGTCACAGGCTTAGTCACAAACCGTACCTCTCCATAACAAAGGCTCACCCTCTTAAGCCTCACCTTACCGTATGAATAAAAAGTGTGCCGTACTTGGCCCTTACCGCCTCTCCAACCATTATATAAACGGAGTGGTAGCTCTTGCAATCTCTCATTTACTTGATGCGGCTGTCGTGGCTGTGACGGTACCTCCTGAAGACGGAGACTTGTGTTGCCTCCGAAACGTCGTGATTTTTTCTTTTTTCATTAATTTTCATTTCATTTTTTACCTACATGGTGACTTTACCGAAAGACTGACACTTAGCGGCCAGCTGAAATGTTGTTAATCATTCAGGGTTTGAAGCTTTCGTAACTGCAAGGATTCATACTCTTAGGTTTTTTCGGTAAAGTCACGTAGGTAAAACATTAAAATTATATATACGGAGTGGTAGCTCTTGCAATCTCTCATTTGCTTGATACGGCTGTCGTGGCTGTGACGGTTCCACCTGAAGACGGAAGCTTGTGTTGCCTCCGAAACGTCGTGATCTTTATTTCATTTTATTAATTTTAATGTTTTACCTACACGGTGACTTTACCGAAAAAACCTAAGAATATGAATCCTTGCAGTCACGAAAGCTTCAAATCTAGAGTGATGTACAAGCCTGTACGGTCAAACAAACCGAGTTGTTACGTGGGAGAAAAAATGCGCTCGTTGATTTTGCTCTTCAACAAACCAGTTGCGTTGAACAACAAAATCAGACGCTGTCTTATCGACAGACGCTGTTCTCCACCTGAGGACGGCTGCTTGCGTTGTGGCCGAAACGTCGTGAGAATTATTTTATTGGTTTATTTTTATTATTTTATTATTTCCATTCTACGTGATTTTACCGAAAGAACCAAGAAGATGAATCAAAATCAATTGGCGACGTTCTTAGCGCGGCAACTTGATTTGTTTGGCCATGTCCTCTGTTTCGATTTAAAGCTTCTTTCGTGACTGCAGGGATTCATCTTCTTGGTTCTTTCGGTAAAGTCGTCACGTAGAAGGGAAGTAATAAAATAATAGAAATAAAACATAATAAAATAATTCTCACGACGTTTCGGCCACAACGCAAGCAGCCGTCCTCAGGTGAAGAATGAGACACTGCCAAGCTTGGAGCTTATATATAAGCTGGGTTGGAGGTGCAAGAAGAGCGCCTTAACAAAAGAATGTGCACATCAAGAGGAGTTTAGCATATTCATGGGAAATGCGTAGGAGGTGGGTGGGGGGGTTTCAAAGTCATATTATGCCCGTGCATTACGCAGGATCAGCAGCATCAAAGCGAGGGGACAGGGGGTAGCATTAACAAAGGGAGGGAATGTTAATATTATGTAGAAGCAATGAACCCAGCTCATATATAAGCTCCAAGCTTGGCAGTGTCTCATTCTTCACCTGAAGACGGCTGCTTGCGTTGTGGCCGAAACGTCGTGATAATTATTTTATTATGTTTTATTTTTATTATTTTATTACTTCCCTTCTACGTGGTGACTTTACCGAAAGAACCAAGAAGACATGTCCTCTGTGTTTGATGCTCTTACCTTTCAATGACGGTCTTGTTAACCTCAAAAGTAGTCTCTAGCCGCGTTGTCTGCTCAGAAAGTTCCGTGTTCTTTAAAGTAATATCGTCGATTTTTTTCCGCGTCTCCTTTAAATCTTCTGCATATACTGCAACGATGAATATCGCAACGAACACAACCACGAACTTCGCACAACGCAGGATTAATGATTGTCAGTGATCCTTTAAATAAGGATTAATTGAATTCCGAACAAAATATCACTTTTACAGAGCTGTGTCCTCCCGTTTCTCGAGGCATTTAGTTCAACCCCATAACACCATCATCAGTCAGCGTCAATTCACCGAGCCTCGGTGGTGAGGTGTAAACACGGTGGCTAGGAGATGTTAACTACCTCGCCTGGTGTACAGGAGGTCGTGGGTTCGATCCCTACCCTGACGCCTGCTGCTGTATATTTGGAGTCTGCGTGTCTCTCTCTCATCATCATCACGGTGGCTAGGAAATGTTAACTACCTCGCCTGGTATGCAGGAGGTCGTCGGTTCGATCCCGACCCTGACGCCTGCTGCTGTATATTTGGAGTCTGCGTGTCTCTCTCTCATCATCATCACGGTGACTAGGAGATGTTGACTACCTCGCCTGGTATACAGGAGGTCGTGGGTTCGATCCCGACCCTGACGCCTGCTGCTGTATATTTGGAGTCTGCGTGTCTCTCTCTCTCATCATCACGGTGGCTAGGAAATGTTAACTACCTCGCCTGGTATACAGGAGGTCGTGGGTTCGATCCCGACCCTGACGCCTGCTGCTGTATATTTGGAGTCTGCGTGTCTCTCTCTCATCATCATCACGGTGGCTAGGAAATGTTAACTACCTCGCCTGGTGTACAGGAGGTCGTGGGTTCGATCCCGACCCTGACGCCTGCTGCTGTATATTTGGAGTTTACGGGTCTCTCTCTCATCATCATCACGGTGGCTAGGAGATGTTGACTACCTCGCCTGGTATACAGGAGGTCGTGGGTTCGATCCCAATCCCGACGCCTGCTGCTGCTGTATATTTGGAGTTTGCGTGGACTCCCTGTGGCCGTGTGGATTTGTCTCTGTGTCCTCCGGGTTTCCCCTCCACATTTAGAATCAACGTCACGCGTTTAGAATATGTGGCTGCTATCAATGTCCACGTGATGATTACATTGTTTTGCCCGGTCACTTCTGAAAAGAGCCACATTGCTCAGTGGGCCTTAGCTGCTTAAATAATAATACTGGTAGGAACGAAGTGGACCAGCCTATAATAGATTATATCGTCCGTCCGTCCGTCTGTCCGATGTCCTATTAGGTGCAGCAACATCGCCCCCTACTGCAAACACTTGGCAGGACCCTACAAAAACCTTTAGACTCAGTGAGGCTTTCCTGGCTAAACAAGTGTAACATTCCCCTTATAATTCCCTGAGATAGCTTTAAATTAAAACATTTAAATTAAAAATTAACTCACAGCGGCCTAAAGCCTACAGCTAGGCCTAAAGCCTAGAACTAGGCCTCAAACTATCCCTTCGTATCGTCCGATTAGGTGTAGCAACATCGCCCCCTACTGCAAACACTTGGCAGGACCCTACAAAAACCTTTAGACTCAGTGGGGCTTTCCTGGCTAAACAAGTGTAATGATACATGATGTTTATATTCTTTGGTTATTCGTTCATACCAGCCCACCCCGCAGGGTCCTGCTAATAATAGCAGTTTAGTTTTTTGTTGAAATTATTCAGCGGAAGGAAGGCCTCTCCATCCCGCCCCCATCTCGCGTGATCTTGCAATGCAACCAATCCAGCCAGGACCTTTCACTGAGCCTATTCCATTGCTCCATTTCCTTTTGGAAGGCTTCCCACTTATTGGCGGACACCGCGCCGTTATTGTTTTATTAAAAAATGAACATTTTTTATTGTAATTTATTCAACAAAACGTCTCCGGTTCAAGATGAGCCGACGTGTTTTTTTACTGAGAAGCGCTGGTTCTACGCAGGAGCTGTTGAGGCGGTCCGCTCGTTTTAAAACTCCGACGCATCTCTCTGGAATGGACATTCGATTGGAGTGACATTTTCTTGGTTCTTTCGGTAAAGTCACGCAGAAAGGAAATAATAAAAATTAAACTAAATAATTATTTTATTATGTTTTATTTTTAAAACAAAATAATTATTTTGTTATGTTTTATTTTTTATGAAACGTTGAGTTTTATAAGGGCACCACGGGGTGACCAGCCCCTCCCCACCCACCCCCCACCCAGCCCCACCCTCCCCACCCAGCCCCTCCCCACCCAGCCCCTCCCCACCCTCCCCACCCCTCCCACCCCCCACCCAGCCCCACCCTCCACACCCAACCCCTCCCTCCCCACCCTCCCCTCCCCACCCTCCCCACCCCTCCCACCCCCCACCCAGCCCCACCCTCCCCACCCAGCCCCTCCCCACCCTCCTTTCCCCACCCAGCCCCTCCCCACTGTCCCCTCTCCACCCAGCCCCACCCCTCCCATTTTTGGATGCACGACAGATGGACGGACACAATAATGCCCTGTGGGCTGGTGTAACCAGGAGGTTCCTACCAGTATTATAGGAAAGCAAAGACCCTCGCACTCCACAAGCTAAGGCCAGACGAACCCTCCGTGCCGTTCAGTGGCCAACCCAGCCCCCCACTACTCCCACCCCCACCCAGACCCACCCTCCCCACCCAGCCCCACCCTCCCCTCCCCACCCAGCCCCACCCCTCCCATTTTTGGATGCACGACAGACGGACGGACACAACAATCCCCTGTGGGCTGGTGTAACCAGGAGGTTCCTACCAGTAAAACCTCTTATTCTTAGGTTTTTTCGGTAAAGTCACCGTGTAGGTAAAACATCAAAATTAATGAAAATAAAATAAAAATCACGACGTTTCGGAGGCAACACAAGTCTCCGTCATCAGGTGGGACCGTCACAGCCGGATTAGCTGCATCAAGTGCATCAAGCCAGATTAGCTGCATCAGTTGATGCAGCTAATCCGGCTGTGACGGTCCCACCTGAAGACAGAGACTTGTGTTGCCTCCGAAACGTCGTGATTTTATTTTATTTTTATTAATTTTAATGTTTTACCTACACGGTGACTTTACCGAAAAAACCTAAGAATATGAATCCTTGCAGTCACGAAAGCTTCAAATCTAGAAGTAAAAACCTCTTATTGTGAAAAATGAAGATGTGGACATTTTTTGGGCCGACCGGCCTTCATCCAGATAAAAAAATAAAAATAACGACGCGAATCCCATTTAGTCGGATTCACCGCTTTCACGAGGCTCCGACTAAGCGCTGCCGCCCCATCGCTATCGGGCGCGAGAAACGTGGAGCGCGAGTGTCTATTCGCGCTATAACACCGGAAGTGTCGCTCGAACGAAAACCGCAACTCACTTTTAGCCTTCTCTGTTTCCGCATCGAACAGCATGATCAGTTTCACGCTTCGATGGTGATCTGTAGAAAAAACGAAGATGTCATTCAGCACGTGAAACACGCGCTTTGTGGATAGCTGTGTTTGTGGGCAGCAGTCACGGGCGGTGGCGGCGGTGCACGCACGCCCCTGATCCAGCGCTGCGGGGCGAAGCTCGATGGATCAGACAAATGTTGCTAAAAGCGTCACAGCAAAGGGTGGACTGTTGCCTTCTGGCGCGCTTGTGTATGGGATAGAGTGGTAGATTTTTACCCTTTCAACTGGTACAACAACTGACACCTTTATACATCTTCTTGGTTCTTTCGGTAAAGTCACGTAGAAGGGAAGTAATAAAATAATAAAAATAGAACATAATAAAATAATTATTATTTTATTACTTCCCTTCTACGTGACGACTTTACCGAAAGAACCAAGAAGATGAATCCCTGCAGTCACGAAAGCTTTAAATCGAAACGTTTATACAAGGCATCATGTTTGCAATAACCACAACACATGCAATCAAAATGCAAACAAAAAAGAAACTCTGATAATGATGATGATATGCACTGTCCTTGAAGTTGATTGGTCCACACCCGAGACAGCTTTTCTCAGAGCCTAGTCTCACATGGTGTTGGACCAGATGATGCCAAAAGGCGCACAACTCAAAGACAGCGCACTATCAGAGTATTGAGAGTTCGGGGTGAAGCATTTACACTATGAGACATCTCCCTTACCAGTGGCAAAATATAGTGATCGTCAAAAACAGTGGCCTTACAAAGACAAATATATAATTGGGTGGCATTTGAGGTAATGACCTTTCGCCGTCGCACATGAATAGACGCAAAGAGAGACAGAGCGGATCATAAGATTTGGAGACTGAACTTTAAATCATTGCGCCGACGTGAGTTTTTATCGTTCCGATGTCCAGTTTTTAAATTGCCATTTGACAGACGTCAGTGTAGCCAGAGCATCTACGTGTTGCATTGTACTTCTATGCTCTCGCCGTAAGCCAGGGGTCGTGAACCTTTTTGACTGGGAGAGCCATAAAAGCCAAATATTTCTAAATATATTTCTTTGAGAGCCATATAGTGTAATTTTAACGTGTAATAAATTAAATATGTATCACTTTTAATGCGACTTGGTGCTATATGGTTTTGCTGATGGCCTTGTAGTCTGGTTCATACGTGGTGAGGTAGAGCTTCATGCAGGCGTGACCCGTGAAATTTATCTTCAAAACTAATTTCTGTTCACTTTAAAACGACACGGCATTATTAAGCAAATATCACAAGTATTTTAAAATCAGTTCCAAACTGATTTTTATTTATTTTTTTCAACTCAAAATTGTCAGGGAGCCATATGCCGTCACCGCAAGAGCCATGTGTATGGCTCGCGAGCCATAGGTTCCCGACCGCTGGTCTAAGCTATGCTACTCACTGGCACCAACCCGCGCGGATCGACATGGTGTAGCGCAGTCAAACAACGCCAGCAACCCTTTCGGCACGGGCAGGCCCTCATCCAGCAGCGGAGTGACACACGAACGCACGAGTCCGCGAGCATTGCACGCAGAACGTGCACTGTGGAAGCAGAGATTAGTTATTTTCGCGGGTAGATTTGAGCGAGGCTCAGAGGGGGCTGTACAGAGGGGCAAGATGGATCGATCCGGTACGGCCGAGTGCGTACGAACCCGGCTGGAACGCTTGGCCACGGCTGCAAGAGGTTTATCATCGCAAAGCCAGGCACTTGGAGGCATCGTTGGGGTATATCTTCTTGGTTCTTTCGGTAAAGTCATCATGTAGAAGGGAAGTAATGAAATAATGAAAATAAAACATAATAAAATATTATGTTTTATTTTTATTATTTATTATATATTATAAAAATAAAACATAATAATAAATTATTCTGTTTTATAAAAATGAAACATAATAAATTAATTATAAAAATAAAATAAAACATAATAAATGATTATGTTTTATAAAAATAAAACATAAAAAATTATAATGTTTTATTTTTATTCTTTTATTACTTCCCTTCTACGTGACTTTACCGAAAGAACCAAGAAGATGAATCCCTGCTGCAGTCACAAAACAAACTTTAAATAGAAAAATAAAATATTATTAAATTATTTCAATATATTATTATATAATTTTATTATATAATTTCATAATATTATATTATTATTTTATGAAGTTTTATTTTCATTATTTTATTATTTCCCTTCTACGTGACTTTACCGAACGAACCAAGAAGATGAATCCCTGCAGTCACGAAAGAAGCTTTAAATCGAAATTTAATTACGTTTCATTTTTATTATTTGATTATATTATTTTATTATGTTCTATCTTTATTATTTTATTATTTTATTATATTATTTTATTATGTTTTATTTCTATTATTTTATTACTTCCCTTCTATGTGGTGACTTTACCGAAAGAACCAAGAAGATGAATCCCTGCAGTCACGAAAGCTTTAAATCGAAATTTAATTACGTTTCATTTTTATTATGTGATTATGTTTTATCTTTATTATTTTATTATTTTATTATATTATTTTTTTATTTTTTTTATATTATTTATTATGTTTTATTTTTATTATTTTAATATTTTATTATTTTATTTTATTATATTATTTTATTATGTTCTATCTTTATTATTTTATTATTTTATTATAATATTTTATTATGTTTTATTTTCATTATTTTATTACTTCCCTTCTACGTGACGACTTTACCGAAAGAACCAAGAAGATGAATCCCTGCAGCAGTCACGAAAGAAGCTTTCAATCAAAATCGTTGGGTATGCTTAAGCATCGCGTCTGGTGAGCCGGCAATGTGCGAACTGCGTTCGGTTTCCTCCGAGGCGAGTGAGCGCTGTAGAGGGACGTGTCGAGCGGTCGAGCCGTACTATGGGGACCTCATTTGCCAGTAAAAATATGATAATTGGTTTTGAACCCTTCTATCTGGCAACAAAACTGACACCTTTTTGCGAGGAGTCATGTTTGCATAGACCACAATACCTGCAGTCATAATACAAACAAAAGAACACAACTCTGATAATGTTTGCACTGTCCTTGAAGTTGATTGGTCCACACCCGAGTCATCTGGTCCAACCCATGTGAGACTGGGCTCTAAGGAAAGCTGTCTCGGGTGTGGACCAATCAACTTCAAGGACCATGTGAGACTAGGCTCTAAGGAAAGCTGTCTCGGGTGTGGACCAATCAACTTCAAGGACCATGTGAGACTAGGCTCTAAGGAAAGCTGTCTCGGGTGTGGACCAATCAACTTCAAGGACCATGTGAGACTAGGCTCTAAGGAAAGCTGTCTCGGGTGTGGACCAATCAACTTCAAGGACCATGTGAGACTAGGCTCTAAGGAAAGCTGTCTCGGGTGTGGACCAATCAACTTCAAGGACCATGTGAGACTAGGCTCTAAGGAAAGCTGTCTCGGGTGTGGACCAATCAACTTCAAGGACCATGTGAGACTAGGCTCTAAGGAAAGCTGTCTCGGGTGTGGACCAATCAACTTCAAGGACCATGTGAGACTAGGCTCTAAGGAAAGCTGTCTCGGGTGTGGACCAATCAACTTCAAGGACCATGTGAGACTAGGCTCTAAGGAAAGCTGTCTCGGGTGTGGACCAATCAACTTCAAGGACCATGTGAGACTAGGCTCTAAGGAAAGCTGTCTCGGGTGTGGACCAATCAACTTCAAGGACCATGTGAGACTAGGCTCTAAGGAAAGCTGTCTCGGGTGTGGACCAATCAACTTCAAGGACCATGTGAGACTAGGCTCTAAGGAAAGCTGTCTCGGGTGTGGACCAATCAACTTCAAGGACCATGTGAGACTAGGCTCTAAGGAAAGCTGTCTCGGGTGTGGACCAATCAACTTCAAGGACCATGTGAGACTAGGCTCTAAGGAAAGCTGTCTCGGGTGTGGACCAATCAACTTCAAGGACCATGTGAGACTAGGCTCTAAGGAAAGCTGTCTCGGGTGTGGACCAATCAACTTCAAGGACCATGTGAGACTAGGCTCTAAGGAAAGCTGTCTCGGGTGTGGACCAATCAACTTCAAGGACCATGTGAGACTAGGCTCTAAGGAAAGCTGTCTCGGGTGTGGACCAATCAACTTCAAGGACCATGTGAGACTAGGCTCTAAGGAAAGCTGTCTCGGGTGTGGACCAATCAACTTCAAGGACCATGTGAGACTAGGCTCTAAGGAAGCTGTCTCGGGTGTGGACCAATCAACTTCAAGGACCATGTGAGACTAGGCTCTAAGGAAAGCTGTCTCGGGTGTGGACCAATCAACTTCAAGGACCATGTGAGACTAGGCTCTAAGGAAAGCTGTCTCGGGTGTGGACCAATCAACTTCAAGGACCATGTGAGACTAGGCTCTAAGGAAAGCTGTCTCGGGTGTGGACCAATCAACTTCAAGGACCATGTGAGACTAGGCTCTAAGGAAAGCTGTCTCGGGTGTGGACCAATCAACTTCAAGGACCATGTGAGACTAGGCTCTAAGGAAAGCTGTCTCGGGTGTGGACCAATCAACTTCAAGGACCATGTGAGACTAGGCTCTAAGGAAAGCTGTCTCGGGTGTGGACCAATCAACTTCAAGGACCATGTGAGACTAGGCTCTAAGGAAAGCTGTCTCGGGTGTGGACCAATCAACTTCAAGGACCATGTGAGACTAGGCTCTAAGGAAAGCTGTCTCGGGTGTGGACCAATCAACTTCAAGGACCATGTGAGACTAGGCTCTAAGGAAAGCTGTCTCGGGTGTGGACCAATCAACTTCAAGGACCATGTGAGACTAGGCTCTAAGGAAAGCTGTCTCGGGTGTGGACCAATCAACTTCAAGGACCATGTGAGACTAGGCTCTAAGGAAAGCTGTCTCGGGTGTGGACCAATCAACTTCAAGGACCATGTGAGACTAGGCTCTAAGGAAAGCTGTCTCGGGTGTGGACCAATCAACTTCAAGGACAGTGCACATTATCAGAGTTGTGTTCTTTTGTTTGTATTATGACTGCAGGTATTGCGGTCTACGCAAACATGACTCCTTGTAAAAAGGTGTCAGTTTTGTTGCCAGATAGAAGGGTAAAAAACCAATTATCATATTTTTACTGGCAAATGAGGTCCCCATAGTGTAGATGCTTGCCCCGAGCTCTCATACTCTGATGGTGCATTGTCCTTGAGTTGTGCGCCTTTTGGCGTCATCTGGTCCAACCCATATGAGACTAGGCTCGAAGGAAAGCTGTCTCGGGTGTGGACCAATCAACTTCAAGGACAGTGCACATTATCAGAGTTGTGTTCTTTTGTTTGTATTATGACTGCAGGTATTGCGGTCTACGCAAACATGACTCCTTGCAAAAAGGTGTCAGTTTTGTTGCCAGATAGAAGGGTAAAAAACCAATTATCATATTTTTACTGGCAAATGAGGTCCCCATAGTGTAGATGCTTGCCCCGAGCTCTCATACTCTGATGGTGCATTGTCCTTGAGTTGTGCGCCTTTTGGCGTCATCTGGTCCAACCCATATGAGACTAGGCTCGAAGGAAAGCTGTCTCGGGTGTGGACCAATCAACTTCAAGGACAGTGCACATTATCAGAGTTGTGTTCTTTTGTTTGTATTATGACTGCAGGTATTGCGGTCTACGCAAACATGACTCCTTGCAAAAAGGTGTCAGTTTTGTTGCCAGATAGAAGGGTAAAAAACCAATTATCATATTTTTACTGGCAAATGAGGTCCCCATAGTGTAGATGCTTGCCCCGAGCTCTCATACTCTGATGGTGCATTGTCCTTGAGTTGTGCGCCTTTTGGCGTCATCTGGTTCAACCCATATGAGACTAGGCTCTAAGGAAAGCTGTCTCGGGTGTGGACCAATCAACTTCAAGGACAGTGCATACATTATCAGAGTTGTGTTCTTTTGTTTGCATTATGACCGCAGCTATTGCGGTCTACGCAAACATGACTCCTTGTAAAAATGGTGTCAGTTTTGTTGCCAGATAGAAGGGTAAAAAACCAATTATCATATTTTTACTGGCAAATGAGGTCCCCATAGTGTAGATGCTTGCCCCGAGCTCTCATACTCTGATGGTGCATTGTCCTTGAGTTGTGCGCCTTTTGGCGTCATCTGGTCCAACCCATATGAGACTAGGCTCGAAGGAAAGCTGTCTCGGGTGTGGACCAATCAACTTCAAGGACAGTGCATACATTATCAGAGTTGTGTTCTTTTGTTTGCATTATGACCGCAGTTATTGCGGTCTACGCAAACATGACTCCTTGTAAAAAAGGTGTCAGTTTTGTTGCCAGATAGAAGGGTAACAAAACCAATGGTCGAGCCGTAGGCAACGTGCTTGCTACAAGTTGGAGTCAGAAAAGGTCACCTCGGAGAAGTCCGTGTGCCAGCAACTCCGACATGACCCGGACTTCATCGGCGTTCAACGCCGAGCTCATGTCTGCGTCGGCAAAGCCCGCGGCACCGCCGACAAAAGCTCCGGCACGGCGGAGGCAGTCGACGCAGCAAATGTTTCTGGTTCTACGAGGAGGAAGGAAGGAAGGAGGAGAAAACGACCGTCAACACATATTCTTCTTGGTTCTTTCGGTAAAGTCGTCACGTAGAAGGGAAGTAATAAAATGGTAAAAAGGCATGGTGATGGAGATGGGGAGATATACACAGAGAGACAGAGAGACACAGACACAGAGAGACAGAGAGAGACAGAGAGATACAGACACAGAGAGAGACAGACACAGAGAGACACAGAGAGACACAGAGAGACAGACACAGAGAGAGACAGACACAGAGAGACACAGAGAGACAGAGAGATACAGACACAGAGAGAGACAGACACAGAGAGACACAGAGAGACACAGAGAGACAGACACAGAGAGATACAGACACAGAGAGACACAGAGAGACAGAGAGATACAGACACAGAGAGAGACAGACACAGAGAGACACAGAGAGATACAGACACAGAGAGACACAGAGAGATACAGACACAGAGAGACACAGAGAGACAGAGAGATACAGACACAGAGAGACAGAGAGAGACAGAGAGATACAGACAGAGAGAAAGATACAGACACAGAGAGACACAGAGAGACAGAGAGATACAGACACAGAGAGAGACAGACACAGAGAGACACAGAGAGATACAGACACAGAGAGAGATACAGACACAGAGAGACAGACACAGAGAGACACAGAGAGACAGAGAGATACAGACACAGAGATACAGACACAGAGAGACACAGAGAGACAGAGAGATACAGACACAGAGAGACAGAGAGACAGAGAGAGATACAGACACAGAGAGACACAGAGAGACAGAGAGATACAGACAGAGAGAGAGATACAGACACAGAGAGACAGAGAGACAGAGAGAGACAGAGAGATACAGACACAGAGAGACACAGAGAGACAGAGAGAGACAGACACAGAGAGATACAGACACAGAGAGACAGAGAGATACAGACACAGAGAGACACAGAGAGACAGAGAGATACAGACACAGAGAGACAGAGAGATACAGACACAGAGAGACACAGAGAGACAGAGAGATACAGACAGAGAGAAAGATACAGACACAGAGAGACACAG